TTTTTGTTGACCTTTGTCCATGGAAGGTCCCTGCAAAATTTCATTGAAATTGGTTCAGGGGTTTTGGAGAAGAAGTCGAAAATGTAAATTGTTTACGGACGCACGACGGATGACGGACGACGACGGACAAAAGGCGATCGCAATAGGTCACTTGAGACTTTGTCTCAGGTGACCTAAAAATTCTTAGACTCGTTTCATCAATCTCATATGAAATGGAAACTCAGGAAAGATCCTATGTATATCTTACTTACATGTATACCAAGGATCTTGTACTGTACTGTAATCTTCTGTAGCCCTGAACAGCGGATATCCTGGCCGTTGTTACATATCACCTGCATGAATATAGAAGATGCTGTGACGTATCCCATTTTTACATTACCATATTTATCATGTGATAGATCCACGAGGCCAACACATCATCTCAGACTTAAAGTAGCAGGATGGGCTTATAACCAGGCATGGGCTTATAACCAGGCATGGGCTTATAGCCAGGCATGGGCTTATAACCAGGCATAGGCTTATAACCAGGCATGGACTTATAGCCAGATATTTATGTGGGCTTATTGCCGGATAAACATGGTCGGACAATTTAACTCTACAATATCAACCACATAGTGAGTTGACATATAACCCAATATATTCAAGAAGAGGAGTTAGTTAGTTATTGGATTCTTAATGGCCCATCAACACAAAAGGTCATTAGGGCCAATAAAAAATAAACTGAACATGTTAAACGAAATGACATGAAACAAACATAAAGGACTATATACAAATAACTTCAAAAACGGGTCTCATATAGTGAGAACTGTTTTTACTTTTTTCAGTTTAATACCTGTTAATCATAACCTCACCAGCTAAACAGATGTACAGGTATGATAACAATAGGGGTGAATTCTCAACAAAGGCAGGGGCCAATAAACAAATCATTTGTTATGCATAGCATAGCAAAATTGTTTATAGATCAAAAACATCTCATTAACCCTTTCACCCCATGTTACTTTAGTAGCCTCTACCATGCATTGATATGGATGAGTCCATTATGGTCTACAGTGGTGAAAGGGTTAAATGTGACATTTTCAAAACCTTTTAGTCTGTAAGAAAAATAGCTATCTGGTCAACTTTTAGTTTTTATACCCTTGTATCTTACTCCGTCTATAAGGAAGGTATTTCATAATGTCGGCCGTAGACAGGTACTCTAACCTCACCTGGTAGAAATGTATGGTAGAGTCGCGGGCAAAGGCCAGAACGGGATCAATCACTCGGTCACTCTCCGACACCTGGATGATGACAAACTGCCAGGCCAGGAGGGGGAGAGTCCCTGGGTCACCCTGTATAGAAAGAACACACATAAGTAAACAGTAATAGGGTTCAAGCTCCTACAATCAGGGTACCTCCTGGATACACAATGAACCAGATTACGGTGAGAATCCTGATCAAAGTATGATAAACAAGAAGACACTGTCAATGATATCCTTCGCTCGCAATGCAAAACATGAAGCGTAAAATACAGGTCAAAATCAGCATCCGCAATACGCATTCAGTAGAGCAACCCTAGATACACAATTGATGCAAGAATAATCAACATAGCACTTGTAGTTATTCTTTACAAGGTGCATGGATGGACGGACCTCATTTCTATATCCCCCGCCAACTCGTTGAGAGGGGGATAATAACTACGATGTACATTTTATTTTCATTGCTATGATCCAGACAGCTCACCCAGTTTTCAATTTACTGATATCTATTAAGTTAAAGTGTGTGATGATAGTTTAATTGTATAATATCTGTCATAGCATGAATTTGAGACAGACTCCTGATTTTTACCCTAAAATTGAGCATTTTCATCCGGTGAATTTGCAAAACTATTCCTATTTTCTGAGATCTGATGATATCATCTGAAAGAATAACTTAAAAGATGCCATTTCAAAATGTGGTTTTTTCCCTAGTGTGGTTTTTTCCCTAGAGTGTGGTAGCAGTGTACAGTAGAAATGGCTTGACCCTAAATATAAAGGGCATGTCTCACATAAACATGGATAGTGAATTCACCCTGCACAACACACCTACATATATATACATATTTATAAACTACATTTTGATTTCATTTTGTTTAGAAGACTTTTTTTTTTTCATAAACTGTTTTCCCCAGATTTGGGACTTGTGAAAACCATGGTTACCACATCAAAAAACACCAAAATATGCAAAATATCATGATTTTAAACCCGAAATTCGACCCCCGCAAGTAGAATATTTTTTCTTAAAACCTGTCTGAAATTAAATATCGCCTTCTCGGTAACAGAAATACTCACGTTTTAGCATAGGTCATTCTGGTGGATTTTTCACAATATTACACATGTGCTGAGCACAAAAATAGACTACATGAAAAGCTAGCTTTTGTTGTGTAGACACAGATTCGTAAATGCCCAAAACTGTAGTCTCAAACCAAATTCAAATTTTTTTTTGAAAAATTATGAAGCCCACATAGTCCACTTCATCATGTTTATGCCAATTTTAGTGCTGATTTATTTTTAAAATTTTGATACATGTTGTATTACAGGGGTTATTCATTGTATAAAAATATCACCTATGGCCATCATATGCTACTTTATCACATACCTGTTGAATCTTGTTATAGTAATACAAGCAATTTTTCAGACCATGAAATACAACGTTCTGCATGTGCAATACGGAATGTTGTATTTACCTACTAGCCGGAACTACTTTTTATGGGAATCCCCTTGTCATGGAGAACTGAAAAGTTCCCGGTATTTGCAAAAAATATGAAAGTTATAAAATGTTTGTATCAATTTCTAACTAATACGGAAGGTATGTGATAAAAGCAAGACCACCCACTTGTGTTTTTCTAACGAATCAGAAAGCACTCATTTATTGCGCGGACGTATATATATTCGTCCGCGCAATACACTCGTGCTTTCTGATTCGTTAGAAAAACACAAATGTGTGGTCTTGCCTATGTACACTGCTACCTGTACACACGCACATTTTATCTATGCTTTTAGTTCCTAGCACATGTAATCCCCCTGGATATTAAAAAAAAATATGACAAGTATGGTCTCTGCAGAACTGCTCAACAGAACATTTCAGTATTATGCTTGTCAATTTTTTAGCCTTTACAAAATCCAGATTAAAGCGCCACTGTTTACCTTTAACTGATGGGTGAAGAAAACCTTCAGCTGTGGTCGTATTGTCACTAGAAGTACCTGAATCATAAAGGCATGAAGAGATACAAGTTAAACCGCATTATAATTCATAACTAAGAATATAACTTTGAAACATCAATCCAAGTGATTTCAATTTACCAACATGAATATTAATACTGTATACCAAGACTTATTAAAAATTTCCTGTTATACAGTACATATCTTTTCATTCAATCACTCTCGCCTTTTCTTTGATTTGGTGACGTCTTTCTATGCACCTGTCTTCATACATCTGAAGCTATTGCAGGGGTGTAAACCCCGAACACAACAAAACCATGGTTACATCACTATCATAAACAAATGACTGTAGTACCTCTGAGTCTGGAGAAGAAGAGTTTTGAAATATTGGTAAATGTTCCCTTTGGGGTAGGAATTCTAATTTTACAATTTTGTAGCCTCATCTACCAAGGATGATTCTGACAAAGTTTGAAAAGATTCCATCCACTGGTTCTTGAGAAGAAGTTAAAAATGTAAAAAGTTTATGCACGATGCACGGAAAGTGATCGGAATAGGTCACTTGAGCAAAGCTCAGGTGACCTAACAAGAGGCCCATGGGCCTAAACGGTCACCTGAGTCTACAGTATTTATTTTTGTTGTTGAAATATGTACCAATTTGAGTAAAAAATAGTATAATGTTAACTTAACTTTGTCAGGACCATGAGCTGATCATTCCTAGACCAATTTTAAGTGAGATCGGCCTATTAGAACTTAGTAGCAAAATAGCGGCCATGGCAGCCAAATTGTATTTCTGATTGACCCGAAAAATAACAACACTTTGTCAGGACCATGATTCGATCATTCCTACAAAGTTTCAGTTCAATCGGCCAAGTAGATCTTTACTTTAAGTTTGAAATAGTTTACCAAAATGGCAGCTGTGGTGGCCATATTGGATTTCTGATCGACCTGAAAAATAACAACACTTTGTCAGGACCATGAGTCAATCATTCCTACAAAGTTTCAGTTCAATCGGCCTAGCAGAACTTGACTTTAAGTTTGAAATATGTTTTCAAAATGGTGGCCGTGGCGGCCATATTGGATTTATGATTGACCTGAAAAATAACAACACTTTGTCAGGACCATGAGTCGATCATTCCTACAAACTTTAAGTTCAATCGGTCCAGCAGAACTTGACTTTAAGTTTGAAATAGGTTTTCAAAATGGCGGCCGTGGTGGCCATATTGGATTTCTGATCGACCCAAAAAATAACAACACTTTGTCAGGACCATGAGGCGATCATTCCTACCAACTTTCAGTTCAATCGGTCCAGCAGAACTTGACTTTAAGTTTGAAATAGGTTTTCAAAATGGTGGCCGTGGCGGCCATATTGGATTTCTGATCGACCCGAAAAATAACAACACTTTGTCAGGACCATGAGGCGATCATTCCTACCAACTTTCAGTTTAATCGGCCCAGCAGAACTTGACTTTAAGTTTGAAATGTAAAATGTTAACGGGCGACGGACGACGGACGACGACGGACGAAAACGGATAGCAATAGGTCACTTGAGCTAAAGCTCAGGTGACCTAAAAATACAACTTTATAGAGGAAACTATCACCATTTTATCATTACAATACGTTGTCATGACATATTGACCTTTGACATGGTTGCCATGGCAAAAACCATGGCTACATCACTATCATTATAGAGGAAACTATCACCTTTTTATCATTACAATATGTTGTCATGACATACTGACCTTTGACATCGTTGCCATGGCAATAACCATAACATCCTGCATGGGGTGGTCTTTGATGGTTAGGTTCATGTGGAGCGGTTCAATGGTGCATACCTCGCCTCGACTGTAAAATAGACAGCACGGAGTAACTCAATGAATACACCTCATCAATGCAGGGAATGACGAACCAATTAATTGTTATATAGATCAATACTGATTTTGGTAATGACATATTTGATCTATTAACTTCAATATTTGAAAAGGTGAAAATAAACCAAATATGTGAGTGAGAAAGGGGCTAATCAAATCAGAGATTTTATGGACTTATGAGAACTCTTTTGGTAACAAGTCACATGAAGTAGTAAGGTAGCATACATCCTTAAGTGTCCATGTTACAGTAAGGTAGCATACATCCTTAAGTCTCCATGTCACTGTAAGGTAGCATTCACCCTTACGTTTCCATGTCACAATAAGGTAGCAAACATCCTTAAGTCTCCATGTCACTGTAAGGTAGCATTCACCCTTAAGTCCCCATGTCACAGTAAGGTAGCATACATCCTTAAGTCTCCATGTCACTGTAAGGTAGCATTCACCCTTATGTTTCCATATCACAGTAAGGTAGCATACATCCTTAAGTCCTAATTGTTTACTTACCTTCCAGAAAACAGACACTTTGATTCACACGTGCGAACACCAATCAGACGCCTGAAATACAAAACAGTGTTACATTACTTATACCTTCATCACAACTTATTCATTTCCACTGACACAAACAGTTTTTGTTTCAACAGCTTTATTGTTTTAAATTTTTAAATTTTAACAAAATAAACTAGAACTGCACCCATAGGCATACTAATACAAAGCTGATGCCATAACTTAAGTTAAAACTGTTAATGTCTCTGCCAATCAGAGGCCATTGTGGTCATCTTGAAACCAAAAAGTTTGAAAGTTTACCATTTAATGTAATGTATATTCCCTAGATATATAACTCACAGGAAGATCCATATCGGTCACATACTTATGGAGAATATTTTTACTTTCCAGAAATCTATATACCCTTTCATTGATGATGAAAGCATCTATGTCAATCTACCTAGACTCTTCAATCCTGAGTACAACCCATAATTCTACCCTAACATAAATATAAATGCAGCTTATTATTATAACTTCTAGTTTTCATAACTTTGTTGAATTGATGATGACAAATGTCTTTGTAGATCTACTTAGACTCAATGATATTGAATACAACCCAGAATTCTACCCAAGTTTAATCGGTAACATAAATGTATTTATCACATAACGTACTGTGTTATCAAGTGAATATACCCATGTCATATTTTTTTGCGTATATATATATATATTAACCCATGTAATATGACCTATCGGCTCTGTGATTGGCTGTAAGTTTCAATTGTTTCATGCCTAGGACAAGTACATGACGTCACAGACTTCTGCACTGGAGTCAAAATGGCGGCTTTTTACATTTCGAGGTTGCACGAAAATTGTCCAGTTTCTCGAATAAATGCCACAAATCTTGATGATGTGATAAAAAGGATCTTACACTTGTTTTCATTTCATATGTAATTTATGAAATTCGTCACAAATTTTTCATTATAGCTCACCAGAGGCTCGCTAAATTGAAAAGTTCTTAAGACTCGTTTCATAAATCTCATATGAAATGGAAACTCATATAAGATTCTATATATATATATGTGTAGCTTATTATTAAAACTTCTAGTTTTCACAATTTTGTTTAAAAAAAGTGGTATTTGATATAATGTGGCATGGTTCTATTTACTCACTTGAATTCCAGCTCAAACACGGAGCCTCCGCTGTCACTACAGATGGCCAAAACAAGACTATCTGTGAACTGTTGATAGAAATAATGGTAATATTGCATAAAATCAGTACAGTAACTTTTCTACTTTTTGACAGGGCCTGAGCGATTTCAAAATTGTGAAAAAAATATTGACACTTTCACAAAATTGGGACAAAGAATATACAAATACACTTGTACAAACAACCAGTATGTTTGTTAACGTATTTATTTTGAAACTAAATATTAATCACAATTTCTTAATCTGCATCACCTTAACCCTTTCACCACTGTAGACCATAATTGACTCAACCATAACAATACATGGTACAGTTTACTTAAGTTACATAGGGGTAAAAGGGTTAAGATGCGACCAACTAAATATCCAGCACATGGTTCCTTAGGGGATCTTGTTTAAATCAATAGTGACAAATTACCCCTTTTTAGAACCATCTCTCGGCCAGGGTCAACCTCTCAAGTTTTACAGTTTTTAATGCAAACTGTATAAAGATGTTTGCTGTAAAATTTGGCAAAATGCTCAAGAGGTATCATTGGGACATGTAGATGTAATTGTCAAATAATATGGAGGATAAATTACGAACTGAAATTCTCCTTGATGTGCAGGACTGCCATACAATGCCCGATACTTGTAGCATAATTGTGTTTGCCTCTTAATATCCAGTAAGCAGCTCTATGGTGTTAGGGTACCCCCGATGGTGATCTCAACCATTTCAAAGTTGATTGATTTAAACGAACTTATTCTGCACAGACAAATATAAGCAATTTGGTTCAGCCCCTCAGTCCTTCAAGGGCCTGCAGTCACACCTAGCCGATTTTGGTCAGAGCACAAATTTGGCGATTTTCTGGAATCAATACTAGAACGGCAGCGTAACGGTATCACATCGCTAAGAACAGTAGTACATCGTCAGAACATTGGCGAAAAATTTGGCAATGCAAGCGACGGTAGAAATCTTTGAACATACTCAAAAATGTCCGCCATTGCGCTGCCAGAGCGAGCAACGGGACTATAACGGCAGTGCTCTGGTATGGCTTCGTTGATGTCGGTAGTTCACCAGTAGAGCCCCGTAATGGATCGGCGGCTCTCCGATGGCCTCAATGTGTACCGTGCTGGTACCGATGTGATACCGTAGTACTACCGAATAGCCCCGAAGTAGTATTGATGCGCGTCGATGTACTAATGACAGAAAAGTGGTATTCAGTAGCACACCAGCTCTTACATCATTGGGACAACAGTATCGCAATGGGAACGCGGGTACTACATTGGTATTGCTACGGTTAGTGTTAATTTTTTTTTTTTCAAGTGCTTTCTTGCCGGAGCTCTGAAGATTTTCTTGCCGTTGTTAATTTTTTCTCCAGTTTAGTCCTAGCGAGGTACATAGGTAGTGTGTAACAGGCTCTTTAGGTGTGGGGGAGAGTCGATCCTTCCAATTGTACATTTTTTAATCATCACAAGCTCAGGATACTTCTAATCAACTATGGTGATGTGGAAGAAACTTGCACTAGATACAAGTTGTCATCTAACAAATACAACAAGGAATACTTACTCAAGAGTGATATCATTGAATGCAATTTTCAAATAAATAACAAACTTGAGCTCACTTTTTTTTCTTGTTTTACGAATCGCTCACTCAGTCATAGCTTAACAAAGGGATCAGCTGGTTTTGAAATGTTGCAACACCTTTAATATGTAATTTGTGTATGTATAAAGTAAAACTTTGATATTTGAATTCACCTTGATGTGTAGGACTGCCGTTCCAGGAGGATGGGCCTCAGTTATCGTCCGTAGAAGTTTCCCGTTGGTAAGGTCCCACATCGTAATCTAGAAAAGTGTATAAAATTATTTGCTACATTAATTCAATATCCCTTTCTTTGAATTATTTATTTTAACCCTTTCACCCCTACGTAACTTCAGTAAACTCCTCCATGCATTGATTTGAATGAGTCCATTATGGTCTACAGTTGTGAAAGGGTTAAAGTGATGCAAGCAACCATACCTTGCCCACACTCCATCTTATCCCACATCATTGGAAAGGTCGGAACCAAGGGGAGACAATGCTACTGTCACAGTATACTTTTTGCTGCATCATGTGTAGTATGAATTCAATGGAATCATTGTTTCGTTCAAATCTGGCCAACTTTAAACCAACTAACTTTTAGTCAAAAAACACTCTGCCTGAGTATGCAAGAGTGTACAATTTCATATATATATAAATATATCCGCCTGAAGAAGCCCTAGAAGGCAGAAAGGCCTAGCTGACGATCTGAAAAATTACCAGTAATGATTTCTTTACTTAACAAACAGTACACTTCATTATGTCTTTGTACGCCAAATCTGGATACTCCAGGTGAAATAGTATAGAAGATATGTTCCGGACAAATATTTTCAAAAGTAAAGGTCAAAGGTCAGGTCAAAGGTCACAGTGACCTGTTTCTTGCATTCTGCACTTCATCATCCCAAGATATCTTTGTACACCAAATCTGGTTACTCCAGGTGAAATTGTATACAAGATATGCTGCGGACAAACATTTTTCAAAAGTTAAGGTCAAAGGTCAAAGCATAGGTCACAATGAGGTCATAGTGACCTTCTTCTTGCACTCTGCACTCCACCATCCCAAGGTGTCCTTGTTCACCAAATCTGGCTACCCCAGGTGAAATAATATAGAATATATATCCTGGACAAACTTCTCGAACGGACAGAGTGCAAATTAACCTATAGCCCCGCCCCCCCGGGAACCGTTGAGGGACTAATTAGTCATGAAGCTGAGGTTTACTGAGGACACACAGGTGTAAATGGTTAGTGACATACCTGTCCCTTGGCAAAGCCACTGAGAAGGCGTGTGCAGTCCCTGTTGAAGCTGATGGCGGAGACAGACCCGTACTGTGACCCGACGGCTGTGCTGCCAAGACACCACTTGAGAACCTGTTTGGGGTCTGTATATAAAAGATATGCTTTAACCTTCTGTATTTCTGTCATGGTATCATTGTTATACCTGGATAAGTTCACCATTTTCTTCATCAACAAGAGGCCCAGTGGCCTTAATCGCTCACCTGGTATATTGTTTTCAATTTATAACCTGTATCATACCAGTTTATCAAAGGAGTACAAGAAATACAAGTTGCAAGAAGGAATACATCTGTTTGGGTACGTTGGTAAGACACCTTTGGGCTAGGTGAGAAAATGAGAACAACTTCAGAATGGCATTGAATTTGAGCACACACTATCTTACTACATGTATACATGACATTTCTTCTGTAAATATAAGTACAATTTAACACAACTTACTAATAACATGGCATTTTTACCGTAACTAATGGTACACAACTTTTTGAAGTTAAAGTAACTTTGTTTTACAGTGACTAATACATATGCTTGTTTTTCAGATAGGTTATACGTGTGGATAACATTTCCAGAGCAAGACACTTAATAATGCATCAATTCATTCCAAACTATTAACAAACTTACCAAAGATAAGCACCAGTCCATGTGAAGTTCCAATGGCTATCTGAGCGGACACAGCCTGCAACATCACCGGGACATTTGTATACATTTATTGGATAATTAAAAATAAAAATATTAAATGTATGCATACTAAAGTTATGGTATGTATTACTGAAATGAAAAAATCTGATTACATTCTGCACTTTTAAATTATTTATTGTGGGGGAAAAAAATCAAGAAAGATTTGGGTGGTATCTGTCTTTTACAAGCTTTTACAGTGCTTAGTCTGTTATTTTTTAAGTTATCAAATTAACGCTGTAAACACTTAATTACTCTAATTGGGAATTTATGTCTAATTTACTTTTCACCTCAACTATTAATGATTAATGTTATTCAAATGTCCATGTCAGAATTTGTTCAAACGGTATTGAGCTGATAGCAGAGGATTTTTTTAAGTCCTACAGTCAGAACAAAATCTTAGTATCTGTATATCTAGTATTAAAAGGTCGTAATTTGCAGATACAACCCACTTCAAATATAGAGAATCAACCTTTCTATCAAAGTTGTATGTATCTTTTTACATCAGATTTTTGTTATTTATTCGTGAAAAAAAAGACAAAATATTTATTTGAAGTTTTATTTATCCATTACAAAAAGTTCTGTGCATAACAAGTTTTGGTAGTTATAGGTGTCATTCAAACGAGAGATGTATATACATGATTTTATAAATTCTTTAATAAGGATTTCATAAGGGTGAAGATATCAGTTAATTCAAGAACAAAATAAGTGTTTTAGAATCCCTGTGCATTACTGGGTACTTCGCATATAAATAAAACATCCAATTCATGATAAAGCTTGTGGATCACTTTGTAGAGTGACCAGGTAGCTTAAGCTTATGTGGTAGAGCGTCTGTCTATAGCTCATCCAGGGGCTCCCAGGTTCGAACCCCAGACTGGCCGTGCATTTTTTTTCCCGCTTCTACTATATTCGGTACACGTGACCAACCCTTGTTTCGAGTCTCATAGGCGAATGCTTGGCAAGGGGCTACCTAACCCTGGGTTGTAAAATAGCTGATTCTTAGGGAAGGGGGTCGGAAGACTAAGAAAAAGGAGGGGGATGTAGCGGAACTGGACCAGGTTGATATATGCCGACCAGGTAGGTTTATTAGTAGAGCGTCTGTCGAGAGTTTGTAGGGTCCCTGGTTTGAAGCCCAGTCTAACTGTGCATTTTTCTGCTCCTACTACAAGGATTAATAGAATCTATCACCCCCTTGGGGGCGAGATAGGGGAATCTCAACCAGAGGGAAGCCGAGTGTTTGGCAACTTTGGAATCTTTTCCCGAGAGTTGAGATTCCCCTATTTCACCTACAAGGAGGTGAAGTGTTTTTTTTCTCTTACCCTGTTCTGACCCATTGTGTATTATATACACAATATAATGATAACGTTACATGCTAAATTCAGGGTTGACGTGACATTGATGGATTGTTGACATGACGTTAATGGATTGTTGACGTGACATTGATGGATTGTTGACGAGACGTTAATGGATTGTTGACGTGATGTCATACCATTGTTATGAATAGGGGAATCCCCCCGTCTCAACCCTAGGGTGAGACAAGGAAATCTCACACCGGTAAAAGTGTGGATACACCTGTCCAGGGTAAGAGAAATTCTAATGTCTGTTATAACATACCATAGCTGTAGGCATCCCAGCATCCACACGATCCTACAACAACAAATATTGAAATTATTAAACAGGTTGTACACATATTCACAACTGTAATCATTTAAATTTCATGATAACAACTGACTTTTACTTATTAAATTGGATCATGAATTAGTCACTTGCACACAAAAGATTATCAAAAACAGATTTATATCTCTTTATTTTAGCACTTTGTTTTATTTGCATAGCATCAAAAAATCAATTATCAATCAATCTTAAATTAAGGCTGGAACGGGTAACCGAGTACCTGGTTGCAGTTTAATTTGGTTACGAGTACTATACAGTTAGCAAATCTACGTTTGTTTGTTTGTTTGTTTGATTTTGTTTAACGTCCTATTAACAGCTAAGGTCATTTAAGGACGGCCTCCCCTGTGTGCAAGATGCATGCGTGTAGTATATGAGTGTGTATTTAGGGAGGCTGCGATATGTTCGTGTTTGTCTCCTTGTGATAGCGCAGAACTGATGCCGACTTTATAGTGCTACCTAACTGAAACATACTGCCGAAGACACCCAGCAGGACGCCCCACCCGGTCACATTTTGCTGACAACGGGCGAACCTGTCGTCCCACTCCTAATTTGCTGAGTGTTAAGCAGGAGTACAAATCTACATACCCATATATTTATTGTTTTTTATGGTCAGAAATGTCGCTCCTGACTGCTATATGACAGACAGGTGCATAGCTTCGACAACACATGAGTGTAAAGTGAAACTACGTCAATTTCCCAGTCGTAAGGCTAGCGATATACAGCCAATTTATCAGATAAAGATTTTGAGAATTTGAAATGTTTAACAACTGTATTTACAAGGAATAAGTATTGAGATATCTTTTTTTATGCAATAAGTGAATTGAGTTATCATATTTTTATCAAAATAAAGGGCCATTGGTGGCTGTATTTCATGGCACAAAAAAACATGGGAACCCGGTTTCTGTTCAGTTAGGTACAAACGGTTATCCGACTGGCATTATTTCTAACCATCCCATCCCTATCTGAAATACCATTATTTACAGCATTTAGACAGGAAATGGTCAGAAAAAAAGAGCCAGTTACTCAGCTAGTATATCAGACCTGACACCACACAGGAGCAGGACACAGGTGTGTACGAGTATGATAAAGACTTCAATTGAGGTGAATATGTGGTTACGTGGACCTGAGAAAGTGGTACTGACAGAGAAAAATTCATGTTTCATAATAATACTCTCACCACATATTCACTAAAATAAAAGTTCTTAATTATTATATTAGATATAAACCTATTTCTTTAATCATTAAGCAAGAAGATGGAAGGTATGAAAATTGTCATGACCAAAAGAACTGCATTTGCTTTGGCAGATAGCATTTTGATATTACAACCGAAGTGACGTCATAAAGAGAATAACAAGAGGCCCAATGGGCCTGCATCGCTCACCGGGTATTAATCTCACACTTATTAACTTAAAAATGATTTAAAATAAAGCTACAGGCAAAATATCAGTGTTTATGACTTTAAGTCACTCAAAAGAACCTGTTCAAAGATTTTAAAACATTTGACCCCTTACGGCCTTGTGGTTATAAAGAAGAATTTGTTTAAAGTAAAATATTGACGCCGGAATACGAATACAGGCCAGGTGAGCTAATAACCTGCGGTTAGTGAAAATAGTAGTAGTGAGTCAATAACACAAATCATCAACCTCCACAACAATATGTTCTAACTAAGGAAGAAGTAGGAGAAAATGGTGTCCTCTAATCATTTGTTAATCATTCTGACCAACCATCTGACTTTTCCTTAAGAACTTACAGCGGCAGACAGTAACTGGGCAGAGATACTCTTCAGTTTGCTGGGCTTCAAGACAGATCCATGGATTGCATAATGAATTCCCTTACGTTTCCTGCAAATATCAATATATCATTATAAGCCATATACTGATTTTTTTAAATATATACTTGCCAAGTATTCCATTTTGGAGGAAGATTCCCAATGTTTACTCTTCTTTTTAATTTTGAGATCAGCTGAATTTTCTCTATCATGATATCTTTGGTCTTTGACCTATATATAGCTAGTGACCTTTAAACTTTTTGAACTTTACCTAATTTAATCAAGTAACCCTGTACTCACTTTTCCCGATTTCTTGGTCTGTCAGAGAGCATACTGTCCTGACTTGACAGGGAAGAGGTATCTCCGGACTCCCGAAACAGCTGGAGAGAAGACGGCATGGACAGCTCGTCCTCATCCAACATGGACTCCTGGTCATCGGGCTGATAGTACGCAAAATAAATAATTAAATGCACTGGTCATTGTAAATAATTTTCAGGTTCACAAAACATCTTAAAGTCTACAGTTTTGTCCTTAACTTAAATTCCTCAGGAAAAGTAATTGCCTCACCCATTCACCCCTAAAGTCACATTTGAACCTTACCAAATAAAAGACTAGGCAAGTCCAGGTTAGATATGCAGAGATGAATGAGCTAATTAGCAAGCACGTATCATAATACCATTGCTATAAAATTCAGTATTGGTGCACAAAGCACTTGAGCCTGGACATTATCAGGGTATTTTAGGACATGAAGTCTGGTTTTAAATCAGGAAAAAAAGTAGGCATGAAATAATTGGCAGTTACACTTAATAAATGAATTTTGATGTACTTATATATATAATACAATAAATTTACTAAATAAAAAAAAACAGTTTTATAACAAACCATTTTTAAACTGTGAAGTATTATAATTAGCTTTCATATGACTATTATAATCAATGTAATGTCACAAAGATCAGCATAAAAACATGCCAGACATTGTGTAACATTCTGTAAAGGTTGATTTTTTTTTGGGGGGGGGGGTGCAATAACCTGTCTTGCTAAGGAGACAAAAACCAAGAGTCCACAAAATAAATGACTAATCCATTCTTATTTCAGAACTATGTGCCTGTCTCCTGGACCCGAAATCTGCTATAAACTTAGATAGACTTGTAGATGTGCTAGTAGTAGAAAGTTCTCAGGGTATTTATTGAATTCAAGAAGTGTTATCCGATGAAAATGTAACAATCATAATGGCACTGTGCTTTAATCTATTGAAGCAGTTTAAGAGATGATTAAAATTCTATGTGGAGAATTTATTTTACTCTAAAACCAAATTATCATAAGAAAGTGTGTATGAAGCTTCTTTAAGGAATACCAGAATGAAAATTGAATGGCTGTTACAACAGCCTGGTGGTAGCTGGGACAACAATCTAGGATGGCGCGGCTGTTCTATAATATGTTAGTGGTGGTTATTATTATTATTAATGCTTATAACGGCCCATCAACACAGGATAGGTCATTAGGGCCAACAAATAGTCGGTCAGTGGTGGTAGGGACGGTCATTGGTGGTAGGGACGGTCAGTGGTGGTAGGGACGGTCAGTGGTGGTAGGGACTGTATAACGGCATGCTGGGCATGGCTACAGACACATATTCCGTCTTTGCGTATTGCAGAGCTATCTTCTCTTGAGAGCAGGTATTGATTGTTACGTCATTAGTTTGTGTGAGAAAATTACGTCGTTTTCTCAAAAATTGATGACGTTACTCTCACAAACAAATGACGTTACAATCAATACCTGCTAACAAGAGAAGATAACTCTGCAATATGCAAAGACGGAATAGCGAGTGTCATTAACATAAAGGTTTTACCTCATTTAAGATACTTTCAAGCGTAGGATTTTCAACTGAGGGCAAGTCAAACTCGGCATCATCCAACTGAAAAGTAATAAATTAAAAACTTGAAGCACAAACAAAATAAACATGCAATAAACACTCCATACATGTATAACATTCTAAATTCAGTTGTAGCAAGCCTTGTGAATTGAAAGTCATACATGTACATGGGTCAGCAAATAACTACCAGTATATTTTTATTTTATTTTTTTGTGTATGCAAGAGTTAGTCTGTAATCTGACGAAACAGTGAGGCCTAGAAAGAACTGCTATGAGAGTTGGGGACTCTATAACTATTAGTGCTGGGAATCGGACTGATTTTGAAGATCGATTATAGGACATTCAAGATCGATCGGTAATCGATTATCAGTTGAAATAAGCGTAGAAAAGAATACATTTAAAAAATCGACATTTTGTCCAATCATTGAAAAATATCGCTATAACTACGTGTTATTTTGCTAATAAGTTTATCTAAGAGACGTTCATATGATGAGAAAGGGTACTTCAGATCTTGACAATGACCGGTAGATTACCATTTGAGCATCTGCAGACAAGTCATGATGATAGCGATGGTAACACAAACAAATCTGGTTATGCATCTTGGGTTAAGTACTTGACATTTATTATTGTGAATTAAGTCAACCAATTTGAAATTGAGTGAAATTGTGTTGGTACTGTTAAGTTTGAGTCCCACCATCCCTTTGCTGAAAAAGATAGTGTTTTCATGCCATTTGCCGTAATTCCGGATATCGTCAGTTATAAATTAAGCCGTACTACCAAATTTTTAAACACCACACTGACCTTGATTATGTAATGACGCTATAGCTACCACACTTGAATGCTGGCATGATTCAAGCGAGAATCAACAAGAACGGGTGAAAGAGAGGTTTTATTTTGGATTAAACAGAAAAGCAACTGTATGTATCTAAAGAATTTCAGTTCTTCATGTCAAACCTACAAAAACTATCTTCTTCATGATAAAGTTTCAAAATCGATCATTCATGTGCTAAATTGATTATCGAATCGACCTCATGTCGAGTTGGATTTAATTGATGTTTCCGGTTATCGGTACACCACTAATAACTATAGCAGAACTTGACTGGGTTGAGCATCTGCAACCAGGTAGCTAAATTGGTAGAGAAGCTGTCTAGAGTTCACATCTAAGACTGTCCTGTGAATCCTGGTCTGGCCATACATTTCTCTTATCTAAAAATTGGCCAGTTTGCCAACCCTTGTTTCAAGATCATGAGCGAATGCTTGATGAGGCCTAGGGGATACCTGAACGGGAGTTGTTGTCTTCGGGGGCTAAGGCTTAGAAAAGGCGGGAGGAATGTAGCGAAACTGGATTGCATTCGGATCGTCAGCGACCAGGTAGCTGAACTGGTTGAGGGTCCATCTAGAGTTTTAACTAAGTGACAACTGTGCCACTTATTTTTTTTTTACTATTTTTTCCAAGGATATTTTATTTTTATCTTAAGTCTAATTAAATGTATATTACGTGAAATTTTGACTAACCAACGATATTTGGACTTAGAAAAAAAATTCGCCTCGAAAATTTCCAAGTGAGAAAACCTGATTCCCAAATATACCTAGCAATAAATGTATCCAAGTGTCATGAGATGAGTTGAAATAAAATGCATGTATGTAAATATTGTATTCAATGCCTTCAAATATCAAAAGTATGCTGGAAGCCATGGAGAGAGCTTATACTGTATAGGCAAAGCCTGTTGCTCAAGAGAGCTTATATAGGCAAAGCCTGCTGCTCAAGAGAGCTTATATAGGCAAATCCTGCTGCTCAAGAGAGCTTATATAGGCAAAGCCTGTTGCTCAAGCGAGCTTATATAGGCAAAGCCTGTTGCTCAAGAGAGCTTATATCGGCAAAGCCTGTTGCTCAAGAGAGCTTATATAGACAAAGCCTGTTGCTCAAGAGAGCTTATATAGGCAAAGCCTGTTGCTAAAGAGAGCTTATATAGGCAAAGCCTGTTGCTCAAGCGAGCTTATATAGGCAAAGCCTGTTGCTCAAGAGAGCTTATATCGGCAAAGCCTGTTGCTCAAGAGAGCTTATATAGACAAAGCCTGTTGCTCAAGAGAGCTTATATAGGCAAGGCCTGCTGCTCAAGAGAGCTTATATAGGCAAAGCCTGTTGCTCAAAAGAGCTTATATAGGCAAAGCCTGCTGCTCAAGAGAGCTTATATAGGCAAATCCTGCTGCTCAAGAGAGCTTATATAGGCAAAGCCTGCTGCTCAAGAGAGCTTATATAGGCAAAGCCTGTTGCTCAATCCTTTTGTTTAATCAATAAAATATATTTGAAATCAGAAACAACTGTGCCAGGATCCTTTTTCTCTCCATACCTCTATAGACTAATCTATTTAACTTACCATTTATTTTGTCTACTTAAACTTAAATTACCTTTTATACTGTCTATTACTTGACCTACAAAAATGGCGTTCGCTCAGGTGGGAAATTTGGACCGATTGTAAACCGAGAACTCGATCTACTAACGTAATTTAGCAGTTGTTGGTGATAATAAAAGCGGATTTGGTCAATAAATAATCCATTTATCTATATCTGTGAGGTATGTGTTGTGTCATAGTAGATTTTTGTTGTCAGTACCTCAAAACTCTCAGATACCAAACGGTGTCAGAGAATTCCACGTATTCATATAGGAGTGCACTCTGGCCCCTGGCACACCAGACATCTATCTGTCAAAATGTCCTAGTCTGGTGTCAGGGCCAGAAGAAACTCGGGCTAGGAATTGTGATCTTTGTGCTGTTGTGCTATGTTATCAGGGGCGGATCAAGATTTGTTTCAGGTTCCTGTGTGAGGGTGTCATCATTCCAGATTTTCAGTTAAGGACTTTCCATCCTTCGTAATACACATGTTTTTCTTGTCATATTTTCCGTATTGCGTATCGGGCATTCCTTTACCGTAGTGTAAATTATAGTAACACCGAGCAAACAATAGTACATGTGCGTGACGATGATATGTCAACACCCAATATCGAGACTTAACTTGGAAATGTGTAATCACATATGTGACATTAATTAACTCACGGGAAGACACTGACATGAGATCAGACGACTTCAAGAAGGACGTATATATATGAGGCACATGGAATGCAGACAGATGTGTTTTGTTTACCGACCTCACCTGTACGTATCACGTGCTAACGGTAGTTCATAAGCTCTTGGTCACTACATTTGTTGTCGAGCGAGTTACGCTCTGTCAAATAAATCGTTTCACAAATGCAATTACAATAACTCTGTGAAAATAGTGGTTTGTAAAATATCAAGATCCCTATAAGTTGCAAGTGCATGTGTGTGCATGTTATAACGACATACCATGCGATAGCATATATGCCCTATGGTTACATATGTACCTGTCATGTAAATATACCATGCATGCGTGAGCGGGCTATGGAATGATTTCCAAAGTGTACATGATTGAGAGCAATTTTGTTCTTGTAAACACCTAGAACAAAAATTCAACATAATCCAATATATAACACAATTAAGTACATTTTTTCGCAAAAAGATATCAATTCCGATGTCTAACATTTTGTAAAACTGACTGTAGTCAATGGGATCATCCAGTGCAAATGATTTTGTTATGTGTGCTATTTATAGCTGCTCTACAGAACACTATCAGCAATGGAGGAGATACAATTTGTCATTTTCTCTAACATTTAGACAACTGAATTTACATTTTTTCGTGCACAATTATGCCTCATGGTATTTTATATTGGATTATGTTGGGCGTCAGGTCGTTTCGGTAACAAGACGAAAGTCGTTTCGGGACTTTTTTCAGGTCGTTTCGGGACATGTCAAAAGTCGATTCGGGATTTTTTTATTTTTTTTATCTTCTGTAGATTATAGATACCATTGTCTTTTTTCTTTAAACATAGTTTAATGTCGACTAAATTTAGACAATCGATTGGATAAAAATTATTACCGTAAATTTGCATGTAGAGTGAACCCTTTTTTAGGTAAATATTGTCATGTCAAAAAGGGGAGTGCACTATACGCAAGAACAAGTCATTCTTGAGTTATCGTTCTCGAGGAAATCAAAGCTACTTTTGGTCATAAATGTAAAAAAAAAAAAACAGTTAGAGTACAGGTACTTACGATGTACATATATGTACAGTAGAAACCATCGCCAAATGGTGACACTTTTTCAGATTTGGTAACAAAAAATTCAGTTTGGTGATATTCTTTAGCGACACAATTTTTACCTACTCCAAAATGATTAAAATCGGTAATCTGTAGTATTATAAGTCATGACTGCTGATTTGGCGACGAACACTAGTTGGGCACAGGTAACATTTTTACAGGTAAGTTGATCGTCTGATCCCGGACAATAGGCCAGGTAGGATCGCCATGCTTCAGCGAAAATTATTGACACCTCTCAACACCACAGTTAATACAAATTACAATGCAGTAATTAGCTAACACTCTATCAGCTGATCAGTGATTACCGATTAACAATAGCTCTACTGCCGAAACGACTAGCATTCTTATGTTGAAAGAATGACGCCCTTTTTTGCTCCAGGTGTTTAAAAGAACTTTATGTGTTTTTATTCCCCATCTGAGTAATAAAATGTGTTACTGCAAATGGGTAACTGTTACCCAAATGCTATTACCTATATGCGCCGTAGAGAGCTTGACTGTGACAGGAGATACCAACTAAGCCGGCTCATCAGATCTAAGTGCAACATATCACATTAGTAATGGTCACCAGCAAACAAAATATACAACCGATATTACATTCATGTACAGTCGGTTAACATACCTGGAGGTCGAAATCAAGTAAATTAGCCGACGAAGCTCCAGCTTCCCCTCCCTCTGTTGCTTCAGCCATCACTGTCAATTATCAATTTTAAAACGAAACATAATTTATATTTTATTTCATATATTTCATTACATTTTATACTTTCAGTATCTGTTATTATTAAATATGATAAAAGAATATAAAGTTAATTGAAAATATGTGTTTTATTTATACTTAAATAACTATAATTATATTTGTTCCGTTTCTCAACAATTTGCAATTTGTACTGATTACTGGATTGGACCAATCAAATTTCACCGGAAGTCCCCCCGTTACTCTCACCCAGCAACCGTAAACAGTCAGAGCAGTGCGCGTTCTTACGGTTTCTGTTCTTACGTTTTAGAAGGTATTTATACGATTTGCATTACCCTTGTACGTTGAACTTTTGACATGTTTAACATGTATATATTTTCTCCATGTAGCCCTAATTTGAAATATCTGTGTCTTAAAATTCGTTGTATATTTGTTTATAAAACCGACAATTGTTGAAACCATGCTCCAATATATATATATATATATGCTTGACTCTGTATGTGAATGTTTTGAACTGTCAATATTCCTACTACATATAACATATTGTGTATTTGCCATTGCATTCTAATCTTTAATAATACTTCAACACAAAAGTGTATGTGATGATGTGAATGACAAGTATTTATCACTTTTATGGTTGTCAAATATCAAATCAACAGTTCCTGCCGTGACATGGCCAGACGGACCGATGACATTTTGACAAATCAACTTGTCATGCTGTGACATGGTCAAATGAATTCTCATTTTGAATTTCAATGAAATGATATGATAGATATTCGATGAAACTAAATCTTGTGGTAGGCTATCTGATTGTTTGTAAACATGGAAAGAATTTCAAAGATGGTGCCATTAATTGAAGCTTGCTTAAAGATATAAAACTGACCATAATTGTACTGTAGACTCAAAAATTTAAAATCATATTTATATTTTTAATCATAGTTATTTTAGTCAAGTGAGTCTCTTTCCCTGTAACATGTCGATGAAACTGGAGACAGAAATGCACGGCCAGATCAGGATTCAAACCCAGCACCTCGAACCTCCAAACTCTATAGATGAATACTCTAATCAATTGAGCTGCGTGGACGCCGGCAATCAAGCCAGTCAAGTTAAATTACACTGATCTCAAACCAGGTCACTTAAAGAATTAGTAGAGTTATACATTACAAATAGAAGTAAGGTGTTGAAAACCCTTTTAATAGAATACTCAATTAGTCATAGATGTTCTGTTGGACATCAACATCTACTAATACTTTGCAAAATTTGATGGATCAATGTCAATTCTTGTATTTTGGTAAAAGATGTAAATAACCAATTGTATAAGAATGTAACATGGATCTGTGAACCCACAATACCGTGTTTCCGAGACACAAATTTACGGAATAAAAGTTACATGATTTTGCAGACACATGGTTTATAAAGAAGATGTGTGTATATTTCTGGTGTAAAAGTAAAGTTAAAACCAGTAGCAAGCCAACTTCTTCATAGTAAAACGTTGATAAATTTGGATGAAAATGGCTGACTAGTACCCTGTTCTTAGACATGCAGTCTGGAACCACATACCAGCTATTTTGCATATTGTTTGGTGCAAAGTTCTCTTAGATTTTCGGTGTATATCGGAAGTACAAATGCCCCTGTCACATGACATGCGAATATATCTGAAACCTCGTCAAATCCGGAGAGAAAATGTATCTCGAAGATTGTGGAGAAACAAATACATTATATAATCTATTTATATCTATCCTTATTTGAAAAAAACAATTTATGAGTTGTCATGTTATTTGATGATTATTTGATTTTGTATTTGTGGTACTTACTAGCAAGTAGCCATGAGTAGACCGTCATCAGATCTCCGCATTGAGGTTCCTACTGACAATATGTCAGCGGTAAACGATGCACCGTTGATCATGTACTGGTTTTCGACAGTATGTTTCCCTTCAGTTCCTTGGTTTATTTGATTATAGATGTAATTTTATTGATTATTATTATTTTTTTTTATTTATTTATTTTGTCACACACAATGTGGTTTGTTGTGAGTGCCATCAACATTTTCTGTGTAAAAAAAATGTTTTCCCCTATCTCCTGGTCCAAAGAAGTGATGATATTGTTACTGATGTTAAAATGGCGATGACAACATCACACTGCAACCTTTCCTGGACACAGCGCCAAGCACGAAATCACAAAAGGTCACATGGAGATAATAAAGTTTCTCGAAATGAAGACTTGAGTCATTCTTGATCCATGTCACAAGGTGAAAGCAAAGTTTTAAAATAAAGAGCTGAGTCAATCTAAATCAATGTCTTTTATAACCGTTGTTATCTGACCATACAAAAAAAACACATCTATGATTTTGTTTGGCCTCATTGTTTGACTAAGCAAGATGTATCAAAATGGCTGTGTACTTTATATATTACCTTTACTCTAGATTGGTGACCATTACACCAATCGACTGCTGTGTCTTGTAAACAACTTATAACACAAAGTGTTACCATGGTAATGTTTCATTTGTTTACTTAATTTGTTTCCAATTTTCCCTTTTTGCTTGTTACTGCTTTTGTTAAAATTACTCTGAAGAAAATGGAAGAAAATTAGCCATGAATCTATCAATAAAACGAATACTTAAATGACATTGTTTAAATAATTGTTCTAAAACCAAGATAGAGTGTATGATTTCAAATGTAAATTTAGAAGTATTTGGTCAAAATTGAATTAAAAAAACCTGTGTAGATTGCTAATTCTTGTAAGGTGTGAATCTCTCGATGTTCTTGTGACCTGCGTAATCTGAATTAGAATAACATTTCATCCGAAGGTCTTTTTACCAAAAGTCTCTAAAACCAGAAAATCATTTCAATTCAAAGAAATTCAAGCTATATTACTTTATGCCCATGCTATATTTAGTTTACATTGTATAAGTTCAAATATTTTAACATTAGGTTACTTTAAAATTGAACGTTTCCTTAAATATCTTAAAGTTTACCAATTTGCATTATATTTGTACATTTTCATTTTTTACTAATGAGTGTTTGCTATTAAATAAGATATCTTTTATACATTGTGTGGATTTTGAAATATTCAGCTTTTTAAGATCCATAGCTTTTTTTAAATCTGAAATAGATGTGTGGAGTACGTATTTTATTGCAATATTTTCAGGGTTTTATTATATTCAAGTTTGCACCAGGTCTTGATCAATTGGAGGTGTTGTTTCATTATGATCTTGGAGATTTTCCTGCCGTTTTGCTTTTCTTTTGCCTTCTACAAGCACAGTATCCTAATAGCGACACCAAATACATGGAGTCACTTTGGAAAATTGATTATCTTTGTTTTATCTTTAAATTTGTGGAAAAAAACATTCATTTAAAGCCTATAAGAGCACCTTTGAACCTCTGCCGAAACAGGAGATAATATTCTGTAAAATCAGAAATTTTCGTGGGGCCGACATTTCGTGGTTTCCTGACAAAACACCATTTTGTTGATACATGAATTTGTGGGTTACGAGTACCCACTCAAACCGAAAATTGGTTTATACATATCAAACTTGTAATTACTCCATGGATCTATGAATTTGTGTAAGAAGATTATCCACAAAATCAACGAAATAAAAAAAACACGAAAATGAGTGATTTCACAGTATTCCCAGATATTAGGTATGGAGTTTTAACTGATGAACATAAATGAAAAATGATCCAAGAACAAAGATTTCATTTATGTCCCAATAATCAATGTAATTTAGTGTTTCAAAGTTTGTTGATATGTATATATACATGTGTTCTATTCCGACTAATGATGATTTACTGTTTCATTCATTTGTCTCTCATTAACTGATATTTAAATTGTAAAAAGATACAAGGTTTACAGAGTATGCTTTTACAATTTGAAAATGTCATCACAAGTTGAAGAATCTCTTTTTCCCATAACATTTATATTATTTCTTGAAAACTGTATTTCTCTTGAAACACATGACTCGATCAATATCACTAGTTGAAAAAATGGCAGATGCTAGCGCTAAGCTTTATTAAATGATGTCATGATCAAAGAAATGTCCATATTACATATCACATATCGATAATATGAAATGTTCACCAATTCCTTGCATATTGTTTCCAAAGTTTTATGAGTGATGAAATCTATAGTGCATGGTTATGGGGGAAAAGTTTTTCTCTTACCCTGGAAAGGTGTATCAACATTGTTCTGGTTGATATATCCTTGTCTCACCCTAGGGTTGAGTCGAGTGGATTCCCAAGTCTCACCCTAGGGTTGAGTCAAGTGGATCCCCAAGTCTCACCCTAGGGTTGAGTCAAGGGGATTCCCAAGTCTCACCCTAGGGTTGAGCTGAGTGGATCCCCAAGTCTCACCCTATGGTTGAGTCAAGGGGATTCCCAAGTCTCACCCTATGGTTGAGTCAAGGGGATACGGGGATTCCCAAGTCTCACCCTAGGGTTGAGTCAAGGGGATTCCCAAGTCTCACCTTAGGGTTGAGTCAAGGGGATTCCCAAGTCTTACCCTAGGGTTGAATCAAGGGGATTCCCAAGTCTCACCTTAGGGTTGAGTCAAGGGGATTCCCAAGTCTCACCCTAGGGTTGAGTCGAGGGGATTTCCAAGTCGAGTCAAGGGGATTCCCAAGTCTCACCCTAGGGTTGAGTCAAGGGGATTCCCAAGTCTTACCCTAGGGTTGAGTCCAGTGGCTTCCCAAGTCTCACCCTAGGGTTGAGTCGATGGGATTTCCAAGTCGAGCCAAGGGGATTCCCAAGTCTCACCCTAGGGATGAGTCAAGGGGATTCCCAAGTCTCACCCTATGGTTGAGTCAAGGGTATTCCCAAGTCTCACCCTAGGGTTGATTCAAGGGGATTCCCAAGTCTCACCCTAGGGTTGGGTCAAGGGGATTCCCAAGTCTCACCCTAGCGTTGAGTCAAGGGGATTCCCAAGTCTCACCTTAGGGTTGAGTCAAGGGGATTCCCAAGTCTTACCCTAGGGTTGAATCAATGGGATTCCCAAGTCTCACCTTAGGGTTGAGTCAAGCGGATTCCCAAGTCTTACCCTAGGGTTGAATCAAGGGGATTCCCAAGGCTCACCTTAGGGTTGAGTCAAGGGGATTCCCAAGTCTTACCCTAGGGTTGAGTCAAGGGGATTCCCAAGTCTCACCCTAGGGTTGAGTCAAGGGGATTCCCAAGTCTCACCCTTATGTTGATTCAAGGGTTTTCCCAAGTCTCACCCTAGGGTTGAGTCAAGGGTATTCCCAAGTCTCACCCTAGGGTTGAGTCAAGGGGATTCCCAAGTCGAGTCAAGGGGATTCCCAAGTCTTACCCTAGGGTTGAGTCCAGTGGATTCCCAAGTCTCACCCTAGGGTTGAGTCGAGTGGATTTCCAAGTCTCACCCTAGGGTTGAGCTGAATGGATTCCCAAGTCAAAACAATACATATGACATCAAATCAACCATGCATTGACATAACATCATATATGGTATCGGAATGTTTTGTTCCAGGTCTTTTCCAGCTGTATTTGCTGTGTATTTAAAAATCAAGATTTGTAATGAGATATGTTTCATGTTTCAGAAAATAATTTGCTTTTCTTATAATCTGCAAGAAATGAGATTTGAATTTATAGGGAAGTTTATCAAACTCAGATTTAGTATAAAAAAGTACTGAAATAATTTAAGAAAAATGTCAAATAAAAGGATGGGCAAAACAAATTTAAGGAAAAAGTCTCACCCTTGGGTTGAGTCGAGTGGATTCCAGAAAATTCAAACTCTATAGTCTGGTGGTAATACAGAAGAAAAGCCTGTAATTAACCGTATAGTTTCAATTGTTAAAGCATGTTGTGTTTGTTTTGGACAGGCTGATCAGAAAAAGGGCAGCACTATGGCGCGTCGGAAGCAAGAGATCCAACTTCAGCAGGAGATAGAAACTCAGGAGGAGTGGGAGGATATCATGTCTAAGGAGGGACTATATGGTATATACAATTCTCCGTTAAGAGAGTGGAGAATTTATCTAAAGGTTCAGAAATAAACTAAAAATGAATCATTGAAAAACCAACAGAATAAAAATTATAGGATTTTTGGCTATGTCATAAAAAAATTGGAGTTCTAATCTGTCTTTTCGTATTGCACAGTTATCTGCTCTTGTGAGCAGGTATTGATTGTTACGTCATTAGTTTGTGTGAGAAAGTTACGTTGTTTTCTCAAAAAATTATGACGTTAATCTCACAAAGGACGTACAATCAATACCTGCTCATAAGAGCAGATAACTCTGCAATATGAAAAGACGGAATAGAAAGAAAAGCAAAATTTTAAAGAAAAAATGGAAACTTATAAAAAAAATATTTGTTTCAAATAGCATCAAGGAGCAAAACTGATCTTTAGAGATAAAGTTTTAAGGATTCAAAAATTAAGCAAAATTTGTAAACTTATTTTGAATTTATTCTTTTTCTCAAAAAATGATAATATTTTTACTACTAGTTACTGCTGTAACAATTGGGTCAGTTACTGAAAACGTTTATTTCTGTTAAACATATATATATATAAATATGTTATATTTTGTTATTAAAAAAAATCTGTCGTTTTGATTATTTGGAAGAGATCATCATTAGGATACTTTTTTAATATTAACAAAAAGAAAGTTTATTTGATACTTTTTTTTATTATAATTAAAAGTAAGTTTATTAGGACCTTTTTTAATATTAAGTCAAAGTAAGTTTTAATATTGTACGACATGGGAACTGATTGAGAAGATAACCCTCTCTGGACAGAATTTCTGACTGATACATCATGGGTGTCTTGGTAGATTTTATTAAGTTACATACATTATACCCATTGTTATTTTATTAAAACGTGAAAACCAGCCTCAATGCATAGCGTGTAAAGAACCATTTACAGTAAAGCTCTTGTTACTAGATTTTATCAACTTTCAGTCAACTCGAGAACATTTCTATAATAACATTACATTTCTTAAATCTCTTTTCGAAAAAAAACCATAACTGTCTCTTCAATTTTAGTCAATCTGAAAGCTTTTGGTCTTTTTAATAAAATTTGAGTCACCATAGCCACTTTCAATATTTAAATTGATGTTTGTCTTTAACCTTTATGTTTGTTTTATAATTTTTGATTTGGATTAAATTATTTTGCATTTGTTTTTTTCGACCATTTGTTGGCCCTAATGACCTATCCTGTGATGATAGGCCGTTAAACATTTAATAATAATAATAATAATAATTATTGAGTCACATCCTAAATATCAAGGACTAGTGAATCACCTCACCGGACTTGTGAAAAATATGATTATAGAATAAGAATATTCCTTTTAAAATTTAGAAAACTGCTTAAAATGAGATACATTGCATGATAATTGTCAAAATTTTCCTAAAGCTTTACCATATTTTTATGGCAGTAGTTATTTTAAGTCCCGGGGACTGTCCCCTACTTTTGATGTTTCGTGCTGTAGATCGCGATGTTTCCTTATCAGGAAATCTTTGACTAGTTACATTGACGAAGGACTAGTAAATAATCTATTCAACTTGTCCTGTGGACTACGTACCAAGCAAACAAAATCAGTGTCTAACCCTGTTAGATTTTTTTTCATCTCAGCTGATTGTCCATGCATTTCATTTTTGAATTTTTTTAAATGTCTATTCTTTATCATAGCATGGTAATATTTCTCATAGCTTATAGCAATAGGTATACTGCTGATTTCACAATCTGATAGTTATAAAATGAAAATCCACTAAATATTTGATGTATTATTTCTTCGAGACACCCATGATGTAAACATTATGAAATCGGAGCTGTCCATGAAATTCTAGAGTTATCTCCCCATGTCATAGATATCCGCTCCACTCCCAATATCCCCTGATCTGTTTTTGTGATCACAACCTGCTGCACCTACCTGGTCGCCACGGTAATAAATAGATCTTGGCTGATTTATCAGGTAAAAAAGATTATTTATTTGGTGGTTGTGGCTTAACTCGATCTTCTAGTTTGGTCGGTTTGCTAATTAACTAACACAACTGTATAATGCCATACAGATATATATATATTATATCTAACCTGTCATTATTTAGATTGCTAGTCAACATAGCATATATACAAGTATATATATATAAATTCTTATGTTGGATGTGATCACACTTAAATTCTACTCCAGGACAGAATATTTATATATAAAAGCTAAAAAGAAAGGAAAATCTGTAATCTATATTGAATGCATTTACAACATTTTGTGCATTTTCTTGTAAAACAAAATATGAAATAGCTTTAATTTTCTGGAGGAAATATTAATAACATATAATTTTTTTAAATTGGCAAAATCAGACGATCACAGCCTGACATTGTCATTATCTACCAGTTATATCACTATTCAGTTTCTTTAAAATGTATTCAACATAATAATATTTCTACACAACTTTTACGTACATATTTTTTAATAATCAGATATCAATGTATCTTATTTGCATAAAAATTACATACATATTTTTCGAAACAATTCAAAAATGAGTAAAATACATTATATGTATAGATATTGGCTCATTAAATAAGGTTGATCTGTATATATATATTGCCTCATAAGTTGATCTGCACATTTTTAAGACAAAGAATACAATAAACTCAAAACACAAGGATATTTAAGTAAAGAAAGTATAAAGGAGTAAAAAAACACACCTCCAGATACTCATTTTCAAAACTTTCTGTATTTATAGAGTTTATATTTTCAGTTTGCTCATTTGCATCAAAAACCTTGTAGTGTTGAAAAATGTTTAGAATTTTTGTAATTAAAAATTCATTGTGTAAATTATAGGATACCAAAAGATCGGATTTATAAATATTATTCTAGGAAGGTATGTAGCTTCAGTAAATATTTTCAACACTCAAAAATACACGTTATGTTGTAAATAAGGAAGTTGTCACGAGGATGTAGTTTTTCACTCCAAAGCATGTCACTGATTGTAAATGTTATTGGCTAGTTGTTCTTTTATCAGTATTTTACACTTCAATTTCATGTACAATGATTCTGGATGCATCACTTTTGATATTGTACAAATTTGTTGTTTCAGGATTATTGATAAAAATATATTATGCAAAAAAAATGTTTGACTGTCACAGAAATCAAATATAATACACATTTTTTAATTTGTTTCCATCAATGTTTCCTTTTTCAGTTGAACAAAAATAATCATAAGGTAGTGCCGAAGAAAAAAAAAGAAGAAAAAAATCTGAAGATTTCCTGTTTCTTTACAATAAAATAATTAACTAATTCACCCCTGAAGACACATTTGAACTCTTCCTATTCAAAGGTTGGAAGAGTTCATTATGAAATTTCAGGGGTGAATGAGTTAATAGTTGGATCCTGCAGACATTTTTTTCTATATGATAGAATAATTTACAACCTGTATCAGTGAAGTGAAGTTCAACATCAGCTGCAAATGTCATGGGAAATCTTGAAATCTTAACCAACTTCCTAAAATGTGTCTGCCAATCACTGATGATGAAAACTTAAGACATAAAAAAATATATTCTCACTATAAAATTAAATTTTCAGAATTAATAAGGTAACTCTTTGTTAGCAATTAAGAAATCTTATTCAAACTGAAGATTTAACTAAATTTAACATAATTAGTATGATGTTAGATTCAAATTTTACATTGATGCATCTAAAATGTAACAGATAAGAACAGCTTAGTGCAGGCGGTTGTATGATTATGGGAACTCTTAGTGTAAATGATCAGTTATTGACTTTCGTTGAGGTGAATATATGGTTGCATGGACCTGAAAAAGTTATACTAACCGCAATGAAGTCAATATACCTTTATCAGTTCCATGTAGCCACATTTTCACCAAAAATGAAATCTTGAATTGTTTTAAATGTAATAGATGTTAAGTAATGTTTTGATCAGTAAACAAGATGAAATTTGTATGGAAGAATATATACATTAACTGCATTCAGCTCAGGGTGTTATAACACTACAATCGAAATGAGAAAATGAAGTGAATACTAACCTGCTTTTTCTAAAAATAGTAACACCGGGTCAATATCACAAATGAAATCACCGACCTCCACTTGGTTAAGGTCCAACCAATGGGGATGTAGGACAAATGTGTGACGTCTAATATTGTGTGTAATAGCCTGCTAGTGTTCTATTACCACAGTGGTAGATGTGTACCAGGAATGGTGTGGACCATGCGTAGGAATGAACAGCACCTTCAAAAAAATAAAAAACGATTTGGGTGACCCACTTCTCAAATATGCCAACGTAAGTCGGGAGTATACCAAGAGTTTGTCACACATTGTGATTGAGCTTTTGGTGCATTGTAACAAACAAGTGATTGTGTTGGTTGTATTCAAATATTTTTAATTGCACTCATCTGTCATGTCTGTGGATGGAAACAAAATGGAAATTTCTGACAAAGATCATGTAAAAAAAAAAAAAAAAAATATGGAATTTCATACGATGACACTTTACTGTCCCATTATTTGGATGCTAGCCTTTTTTAAAAAGGTAAAAATATTTAAAGGCTCACATATACAGCATGAAAAATGTTACCCCCCATTTTTGATATACACAGGATATATGTGAATTACATCTGTTATTGCTTTTCATTTAAAAACCAAGCTTCATTAGCTATTAATAATATGTCAGAAACAAATTTTGTTTTCAAAGTTTCACATTCATGAAAATGTTTGAACTGGTTTGGAGTTTTGCTTCTAACATGTATACATGTATTTGACCTTGATTCCAGTGATAGATGTTTACCAGGAATGGTGCGGGCCATGCTCCGGGCTTATTGCTAACTTAAAACGATTAAAAAATGAACTTGGCGATGACTTACTACATTTTGCAATCGTAAGTGTTGTTAGTCCGTATATATACCCAGGATGAATGTAACTTCTCCATAACCTTCCAGCTAGAACCTAACTCAATGGTGCTTCAAGGTAGACCTTTGTTTACTGAACTGCTCCTTTAAGTAACCTAGGTTTCCTGTTCTTTCTCTGTTAGTTCTCATAGATCTGTTTTAGTGGCCCTTACTGCGAGGAGCTGGGTAGTTTTAGGAACTTGTTTTTCTTATTCCTAGAAATTCCATACCTCTCTGATCATGACATTTTACTAATGGTAGGATGATTTGTACCGAACAATGCAATGAGTCAGACTGGTATTCAGATGAAGAGATTTCAAACTCTAAAAATCTCAGCTAGCTAATCACCAGTGGGTGATCAGTTTAAAACTGACTGCTTTGTCTAAATCTTCACCCCTAGAAACAATCCAGTAGTCCAACATGGTTCGGATACCGTCTTCTGTATGTCTTGAAACAGGGGTAACGACAAGATAGAAAGTTAACATGGGATGTACAGCTGGAATTATTCTTGATCTCTGGTAATTACCGATTCCAGATCTGCTATAATACTGTTTACCTTTTAGATATCCTGCAATAATCCCAGGGGGCCATCTTTAACTCAAAAAAGGGGATGGGCTTGTTTTTAATTTCCATTGAACCGTAATTTATATTTGGGTGGGCTTATTACCAGGCATGGGCTTATTGCCGGATAGATATGGTAGAAACCTAATATGGCTGGTAGGACTGTATCTGTTTAGATATAACATTTAATTTATATCCACAGGATAAATATAGATATTTACAGTAGATCTTTACATAATATATATTTCTTTTGGTTTAGGAGAAATAAATTCTTGTTCAGATAAGATTCAAATCTGATTGCTAGATCTATGGAAGCTATGGTCAGAAGTTTGAAACTCGTCTAGTTCTTATAATGATGAAAATAGACTTGGCTAGATCGACAGACATTTATCTTTGGAAACTTAAATAGAAAAGCTGTATAGTTATCCTTGTACTTGTATACATGTACCAACAGACTTTGGCCTGTTTTAGTTGTGTTTGGCCAGTAAGGATAAAACGTTACTGAAGAAATCTAGGTCATCACTTTAACTAACCACAGTAGACCCTTACACACTGAAGTATTCGTATGCTAGAAACAGTTATCTACAAAATGTAACCAGTTTCCTTTCATAGTATCATTCTAGTTGACCACTATAACCTGCTGTAGTACAATGTAGCATTACTATCTAGTAGATGTAGTTGACCACTGTTACCTGAAAGTACTGTAGTATCACGATTGTCTAGTTGACCGCTGTTACCTGAAAGTATTGTAGTATCATGACTGTCCAATAGACATAGTTGACCACTGTTACCTAACTGAAGTATCACTATTGTCCAGTGGACATAGTTGACCACTGATAATGGACGTAGTTGACCCCTGTTACCTACTGTAGTATCACTATTGTCCAGTGGACATAGTTGACCGCTGTTACCTACTGTAGTATCACTATTGTCTTGTTGACCGCTGTTACCTACTTTAGTAACACTATTATCCAGTGGACATAGTTGACCGCTGTTACCTACTGTAGTATCACTATTGTCTTATTGACCACTGTTACCTACTTTAGTAACACTATTGTCCAGTGGACATAGTTGACCGCTGTTACCTACTGTATTATCACTATTGTTTTGTTGACCGCTGTTACCTACAGTATTATCACTATTGTCCAGGGAACATAGTTGACCGCTGTTACCCACTGTAGTATCACTATTGTCTTATTGACCACCGTTACCTACTTTAGTAACACTATTATCCAGTGGACATAGGTGACCGCTGTTACCTACTGTACTATCACTATTGTCCAGTGAACATGATGGACCACTGTTACCTACTGTAGTATCCCTATTGTCCAGTGAACATAGTTGACCTCTGTTCCCTACTGTAGTATCACTATGGTCCAGTGGATTTAGTTGACCACTGTTACCTACTTTAGTAACACTATTGTCCAGGGGACATAGTTGACCGCTGTTATCTACTGTAGTATCACTATTTTCCAGTGAACATAGTTGACCTCTGTTCCCTACTGTAGTATCACTATGGTCCAGTGGATTTAGTTGACCACTGTTACCTACTGTAGCATCACTATTGTCCAGAGAACATAGTTGACCACTGTTACCTAACTGAAGTATCACTATTGTCCAGTAGACATAGTTGACCGCTGTTACCTACTGTAGTATCACTATTGTCCAGTGAACATAGTTGACCGCTGTTACCTACTGTGGTATCAGTATTGTCCAGTGGACATAGTTGACCGCTGTTACCTACTGTATTATCACTATTGTCCAGTGAACATAGTTGACCACTGTTACCTACTGCAGTATACCTATTGTCCAGTGAACGTAGTTGAGCAGATGTAGTTGACCAATGTTACCTACTGTAGTATCACTATTGTTGACCACTGTTACCTACTAAAGTATCACTATTGTCCAGTGGACAAAGTTGACCAGTTTTACCTACTGTAGTATCACTATTGTCCAGTAGATGTATTTGACCACTGTTACCTACTGTAGTATCACTATTGTCCAGCAGATGTAGTTGACCAATGTTACCTACTGTAGTATCACTATTGTCCAGTGAACATAGTTGACCACTGTTACCTACTGTAGTATCACTATTGTCCAGTGGACGTAGTTGACCACTGTTACCAACTGTAGTATCACTATTGTCCAGTAAACGTAGTTGACCACTGTTATCTACTGTAGTATCACTATTGTCCAGCAGATAACAGTGGTCAACTACGTTTACTGGACAATATTACCTACTGTAGTATCACTATTGTCCAGTGGACGTTGTTGACCACTGTTACCTACTGAAGTATCACTATTGTCCAGCAGATGTAGTTGACCAATATTACCTCCTGTAGTATCACTATTGTCCAGTGGATGTAGTTGACCACTGTTACCTACTGAAGTATCACTATTGTCCAGCAGATGTAGTTGACCAATATTACCTACTGTAGTATAACTATTGTCCAGTGGATGTAGTTGACCACTGTTACCTACTGTAGTATAACTATTGTCTAGTGGACATAGTTGACCACTGTTACCTACTGTAGTATCTCTATTGTCCAGTGAACATAGTTGACCACTGTTATCTACTGTAGTATCACTATTGTCCAGCAGATGTAGTTGACCAATGTTACCTACTGTAGTATCACTATTGTCCAGTGGATGTAGTTGACCACTGTTACCTACTGTAGTATAACTATTGTCTAGTGGACATAGTTGACCACTGTTACCTACTGTAGTATCACTATTGACCAGTGGACGTAGTTGACCACTGTTACCAACTGTAGCATCACTATTGTCCAGTAAACGTAGTTGACCACTGTTACCTACTGGAGTATCACTATTGTCCAGTGGACGTAGTTGACCACTGTTACCTACTGAAGTATCACTATTGTCCAGCAGATGCAGTTGACCAATATTACCTACTGTAGTATCACTATTGTCCAGTGGACGTAGTTGACCACTGTTACCTACTGTAGTATCACTATTGTCCAGTGGACGTTGTTGACCACTGTTACCTACTGAAGTATCACTATTGTCCAGCAGATGTAGTTGACCAATATTACCTACTGTAGTATAACTATTGTCCAGTGGATGTAGTTGACCACTGTTACCTACTGTAGTATCACTATTGTCCAGCAGCCGTAGTTGACCACTGTTACCTACTGTAATATAACTATTGTCCAGCAGACGTAGTTGACCACTGTTACCGACTGTAATATCACTATTGTCCAGCAGACGTAGGTGACCACTGTTACCTACTGTAATATCACTATTGTCCAGCAGACATAGTTGACCACTGTTACCTACTGTAATATCACTATTGTCCAGCAGACGTAGTTGACCACTGTTACCGACTGTAATATCACTATTGTCCAGCAGACGTAGGTGACCACTGTTACCTACTGTAATATCACTATTGTCCAGCAGACGTAGTTGACCACTGTTACCGACTGTAATATCACTATTGTCCAGCAGACGTAGTTGACCACTGTTACCTACTGTAATATCACTATTGTCCAGCAGACGTAGGTGACCACTGTTACCTACTGTAATATCACTATTGTCCAGCAGACATAGTTGACCACTGTTACCTACTGTAGTATCACTATTGTCCAGTGAACATAGTTGACCACTGTTATCTACTGTAGTATCACTATTGTCCAGTAAACGTAGTTGACCACTGTTACCTACTGTAGTATCACTATTGTCCAGCAGACGTAGTTGACCACTGTTACCTACTGTAATATCACTATTCTCTTGTTGACCACTGTATCTTGTCTAATTGTAGCACTTCAAGTAGATCTCCTTGTTTCACTCTCACGTTGAATGTCATTCTTTTCCTTGTTTAACATTTGCGAATCTTTGAAACTATTTACTATATTCAACTCTAAAATATCTTGTCTTCTTTATGAAAATGCTTATTGATGCTCAGGAAATCTACAGACTTTTTAGCTCACCTGGCCCGAAGGGCCAAGTGAGCTTATCCCATGGTGCAGCGTCCGTTATCCGGCGTCCGGCGTCCGGCGTCCGGCAACTTTTTCCTTTAAAATGCTACTTGTCCTGAATGGCTCAGAGGATTTTGACCAAATTTGGTCAGGAGCATCATTGGCCAAAGGGTTCTCAGTTTTGTATAAACGGAGGGTATAACCCCCCTGGGGGCAGAGGGGCGGGGCCAAATAGGGGGAAAATAGGTAAATCTTTAAAAATCTTCTTCTTCTCAACCAATAGAAGGATTTTGACCAAATTTGTCCTAGAGCATCTTTGGACAAAGGAGACTCAAGTTTGTATAAACGGAGGGTGTGGCCTCTTTGGGGGCAGAGGGGCGGGGCCAAATAGGGGAAGTAGAGGATTTTTTCTCTCCTACTATACAAGTGAAGGGATTTAAACCAAATGCAGTCTGAAGCTTGGTCAGGAGCATCATTGGCCAAAGGGTTCTCAGTTTTGTATAAACGGACGGTATAGCCCCCCCTCGGGGCAGAGGGGCGGGGCTAAATAAGGGGAAAAAAGGTAAATCTTTAAAAATGTTCTTCTTCTCAACCAATTGAAGGATTTTGACCAAATTTGTCCTAGAGCATCTTTGGACAAAGAAGACTCAAGTTTGTATAAACGGAGGGTGTGGCCCCTCTGGGGGCGGAGGGGCGGGGCCCAATAGGGGAAATAGAGGATTTTTTTTCTCCTGCTATACAAGTGAAGGGATTTTAACCAAATGCAGTCTGAAGCATGATTAGGGACAAAAGAATCAATTTTGTATAAACTGAGGTGTGTGGGCCTCCTTCTAAGGGCAGATGGGTGGGGCCCATTAGGGGAAATAGAGGAAAACATCAAATATCCTTCTCCTTTTGTACCGATGAAGGGATTTTGACCAAATTTGGTCTGGAGCATCATTGGCCAAAGGGTTCTCAGTTTTGTATGAACGGAGGGTATGGTCCCCCTGGGGGCAGAGGGACGGGGCCAAATAGGGGAAAATAGGTAAATCTTTAAAAATCTTCTCCTCAACCAATTGAAGGATTTTGACCAAATTTGTCCTAGAGCATCTTTGGACAAAGGAGACTCAAGTTTGTATAAACGGAGGGTGTGGGCCTTCTGGCGGCATAGGAGCGGGGCCCAATAGGGGAAATAGAGGATTTTTTTTCTCCTACTATACAAGTGAAGGGATTTAAACCAAATGCAGTCTGAAGCATGCTTAGGGAGAAAAGAATCAATTTTGTTTAAACTGAGGTGTGTGGATTCCCCTTCTTTGGGGCAGATTAGTGGGGCCCATTAGGGGAAATAGAGGAAAACATTAAAGATCCTTCTCCTTCTGTACCGTTGAAGGGATTTTAACCTAACCAAACTTGTTTTAGAGAATCTTTGGGCAAAGGGAATTGAATATTTATAAATGGAAGATGCAACTTTGTTACTTGTACTCCTTTGATAAACCTGAATGGTACTCAGCAGGTTTTAAATTAAAATACCAGGTGAGCTATTAAGGCCCCTGGGCCTCTTGTTTTCTATCATGATGGACATAAGATGATTCTGTTAACAACATGAGGAACTTGTCCAGGAATTTATAGGATCAAGGAAATTTTAAAAAAAAATCTCACAAAGAATTTCGTTGTATATGGACACTGTATATTTACTACAAAAACTGAGGTGATGTATATCAAAGTGAACATCATAATTTTGTTTCATTGAAAAGAAAAAAAATGATCTTAAATGATAAGCATTGATCAAATATCTGGTTTTCAAACAGATTATTTAATGATAAATGAAGAGGACAAAAAATATAAATAAAGATATTGCAGTTTTATAAAATTTCTATTTCAGCATGTGCATGTGTGTTTTCCTGCATGTGTGTTTTTCTGCATGTGTGTGGTTTTTGCTGGGTTTTTTTTAATGCATTTTGTAATTATTTCCTTTGCAGCCACATTTTTTAAAATGATTAAATAAATATTTCAACAGAATAACGAAACTATGAATCAACATCATCGTTGAAAAAGAAGAAAATGTTTAAATGAATTTGTTCAATTTGTCAAAAAAGTATGAATGTCTATACAAACATTAGAAAAGGAAATCCTGAATCAAAATTAAGAGATAAGATACATGTATATCAAGATCAATATGTACTGACATCTACTTTTCAATTGTAAGATGAATATTTGCACATTAAAGACTGTGCCTAGAAAAGTAAAAATTGTATGTTAAATTTAATGAGATGAAAAACTGTTTGATATAAGCAGAAAGTAGAGCTCAAATAATTATCCAGTATCTATCCCTGTAAATTAGGCCAAAGCTGACACGATCGACGCTCTGGAGAAGTACAGGGGACACTGCCAGCCATGTTTCCTTTTCTATGCGGTAAGGTTTAAAATGGAATTCTGGTAAATGTTTTTAATGATAATTAATCTATGAGTTACACCATGGACTGTTGTCAAAATATCAAATAAAATATATATCTAAAATTAAATTGCCTGTGCTGATTTTTAAATTCTTGTAATGAACACTTTTGAATTAAAATAGTTTTTGGAGACTTTTTGGAGATTTTTTAGAATTTGTGGTTATTTTTTCATTGGCAAGTAAATGCATTAAATATTATAATTCTATGTAATCAATTAACAATTGGGGAAAAGGCTATAACTCAGTTGCATGAGAGAGAGAAAAAATTATCACAACATGAATTTTCTCAAAATTATGACAGCCTTATATATTTATACCAACAGGGCGGAATGTTAGTTGCGGTAATCAGGGGAGCTAACTCTCCCATGGTAATGAGAACGGTCACAGAACAGTTACAGCAGGAACACAGGGTGATTGACGGAGCAGCAGAAAGGAAAGAGGTAAGATAGCGAAGGACACAGATCTAATCTGTACTAAAATTTCACAAATTTAATAGAAATATTTCAAAGATAGGTTGTTTTCGGCAACATTTCACTTTTAATAAGGTCACCTTCGAGACCAAGTTTTATTTGACCTCCGGGGTGTGGGTATCATTGTTATGTGGATATATTGGAAATCACTTTTATCACATAATCGGCCTGTTATCCAGTGAATTCGCCAGTGTAATATTTTTACATATGTCACTAGTGTAATATACGCTGGAGCGTTTTTCATTGGCTGTGCCAGTCAGAAATTGATGGTGACGTCATAATATGGACAATGACGTGACGTCATAAATTGTAAATGGTGCAACAAACTGGCAGTCTCCGATTGATTAAGCCCTCTACATTTTGGCCTTAAAACCTGTCAAACTGTTTAGTTTTCTGAGTTATGTGATAAAAAGTATCTTAAATTTGTTTTCATTTCATATGAGCTTTTATGGAACTCGTCTCGAAGTTTTAATTTCTGCTCGCCAAGACACGCAAAGATAAAAACTCCTAAGACTTGTTTCATAAAATCTCATATGACTCATTTAAGATCCTATATATATATGTCTTGATCAGAGATAAAGACTAACTTTTGTGTTTTTGTGTTAGATCAAGGATCCATACATCTCTATGGTGGATAACATGAGCAATGATGCTGATGAGGACGAGGAGGAAGCTGAGGACGGTCAGTAACTGTACCCCTAGCCCCCGGACCTGTACCCCCTTATCATAACCCTGTATACCTTGATCCTGGCACCTACTCTTCACCTCTTTTACCCCATCCGCGATACTCCAAGGGTCACTCTCTTTTTCGCTCTCTACACCCCTGGAATATGTTATGGCAAAATCGAAGGCGTAGACAGTGCATCGCCTTGTAGTTTAGACGAGTCGACTTGTTTGATTCTTTGATGTACATCGAAAGAGTCTGTTGGTCGCGACGGTAAAACTGACTGGCTATGAAGTTGGGTGTAGCTCCTCTGTAATCTTCCTAGCGATTGGTCATTTTTTTTTTTACCTGAGACCAATCAAATAGCTAACCATGTCCCTTCAAATTTGCTATGACATATTCCAGGGGTGGATAGAGCAAAAGTGAGCGTAACACCTGGAGTATCGGCGATACTTTTACCCCCACCCCATATCTTCTTATCCTTATCAAATAATTCAAAATTCTCCCCCTCGATACCCCCACCTCCGTACCCAAACCCCATTATCCCTACCCCAGTGTCCCCAGCCCCTTGCCGTTGTGTGTTTGTTAGTACAGTGAAGGTATTATATAATAAATCCATCTTTTGCACCTATAGTATTGTATTTAGTCTTGATGTAAAACTCCAGCCTAATTAGTCGAAATGTCCATCCCATAATGTTATCGTTTCCAATTTTGTTTGAGTGGGTTAAACAAATGAATTAAGTTATTGGAATGTTAATGCAAAAAAAATAAAAAATGGCAGAAAATCTGAGATCCATCACAACATTGCAAATTATGAGTTAAATAAGAAAAAGACATTCTGGAAACTTCTTTGTACAGAGTTAAAAACTTCTTTGTATTTTTCATATGTACCGAGTTATTCAAATTCATTAATCAGCAGTGAATTATATATGGTGATATTTACTTTAACCCTTTCACCCCTAGGTAACTTAAGTAGACTCTACCATACATTTATCTGGGTGAGTCCATTCTGCTCTACAGTGGTGAAAGGGTTAAAACTTGTGCTTTCAAAACGTAAAATTACTGGACCAGTTTTCAAAATATTTTTTTGTAATTTAAATTGGGTTTTTATCTGTTCTTCCAAGAGTATCATTTAATTTTGAAAGTGTTTACAGTTGCTATATTTGTTCTAAACTTTCCTTCCCCTTCTCCTCAAAAAAAAAAAAAGGAAACAGTAAGATTAGGGGTTGGACATTATAAGTAGTTGTTAACTCATTCTCATCCCTAAAATTTCATGATGAACTATTCCAACCTTTGAATTGGAAGAGTTCAAATGTGTCTTCAGGGATGAATGAGTTAAATAATGATTCTCGAAAGAAAAAAAAGGAATGGGTTTACATTTATAAAGTTTCCTGTACTGCATGAATATGCATAAAATAATATAATTGTTTTACAGGATTTTACTGTCATAGAAATGTGTTTTAGTGTTTGTCAAATTATTACTTCAAACATTTTTTTAGAGAGAGTTAGATTTGAAAATGTTCATTCTCAAATGAAACAGAATTTATCAAAATTTATCTGCCTTTATTAAAATTTCATCTTTTGATTAATGCTGTTTTTCATTACAATTCAGAATTATTTACATGATCTTTTATCTTCATATCTAATCATACAACTTTTTATCTATTTTTTCTTACGATTTTCAATCAACACTTTCTAATCACTTCCCATTCACTTTGCAGCTTGTATATATACAATTTAGATAGTGCTGCTATATCTCACCTTATTTTACTGATAAAACTGTGCAATCTCATATTATTTGCAATTCAGCATGTTTCTTTTTTTTTTATTTTCAAAAATTCAAAAAAAATGTGAATGCCATCAAAATCTTAAATAAATTTTCCGGTAAAACTTCTGGGAAATATTTGGTCTACTGTTAATTTCAAGGTTTGTGATGCATAATTAAAATAAATTACTAAAATTTCTGTAATTTATATAGATAGTTTTGCTTCAAAAGATTTTTTTTTTTTTCGAAAATCGTCCAGATTGCATTTGGAAGCCCCCCCTGATCAGGGTGTTTATTAAACGCTGTCAAGCATGGGTTTATTATCGGTAAAATCTGGTATAGATATTTTCTTTCATCAATGACTACAAAGTCTGTTATTTCTGTATAGTACCTGCCTGATAGACTTATGAAGCTGTTTTATTGTGTGTCTAGGTCGGCCGGCCAGTAAGAAAGGTAGTGTTCAGTATATAGCACGGTTGGCCAACGTTGTGGCATCATCATGCTTGCTCGCCATGTTTTTAAACATTGCAGAGAAAAAATGGTTGCTCTTTCAAAGTTTGATATGATGTTTAACTCATTCACCCCTGAAATATCATAATGAACTATTCCAACCTTGGAATTGGAAGAGTCCAAATGTGTCTTCAGGGGTAAATGAGTTAAAGAGTGATAATTTACATAATTGTTGTTTTTTTTATCAGAAAATGTCCATTTAAAGTTGAGAGATGATCAATACACCTAATCTATAAGACAGAAGATTCATAAGTGATTAATTTTGATTAAATTTAATTTCTGATATTATTTCATTTCAACATGTACAAAAAGACCGAAAGTCTCATGTCTGAAATTACAAGTTTGAGGTTTAATTGCGATTTTTATCAAAAGTTCAGTTTTTGAAATCTAAATCAGTGATATTAATCTGTCCTGGAGTTTTGTAAAGGAGCTTTTGTCATAATGGAAAGTTTTGAACTGAATTCAATGAGCATTTAAACATTTATAAGTCATTGGGTTGTGTGTTAAATACAAAGATACAAGATTCTATCAAATGGTCCATTTACATTTGATGATCTGATATTAAGGAAAGAATCAAACTCAAGATTTTAAAGAATTTTCCAACTACCAGGTATTATAATAGTTGTCAATGTCACCAAGGAATTTTCAAAACTCAGCAAAAAAATTCAAATGAATTATTCTTATTACAGATATGGTGTTTCTCTGAGAGTATAAAAGTGGACATTTCCTGGTTACTGAAGATATTTCTTAAAACATTTGTTGCTCAAAACTACCACAGGTTTTAATCATATATTCCAGGTGTTTTTTTAAGGAAATTTGAAAAATCATTAAAAAAACCTTGATTTTTCAATTCTTATGCTATTTATTTATGTGGAAACTCACAATCAAGTGTGGTAATGAGTTTGAGCACTGTATGCTGGATCATCTTCAGTTGTTTTAAAGAATTTCATTTTCATAACCTTGAAGGTGACTCTAGATTGTATTGAACTTCAATGATATTTTATATGGAATTTTAACCATTTAATTTCTTTAATTATTAACAAAATATGTTTTTATTAATGATATATTAACATGTAGTTGCTTTAAAAAATTCTTATCTTAAAATTAGCAGGATTTTGCATTTCATTAATTATTGGCCGATACAAGATTTGCAGAAAGCATTTTGTATAATTTGGAACCTAATTTTTCATACTCAAGAAATTAACCTTTAACCTTGACCTTGTGAACTCTTTGTACATGTAATTGATTACTTCGGTTGACCTTTGACCTTCTTAAGTCTGTCTATTCTCATTAACATACTTGTAACCTGAGCTTTCTACTCGGTCTGCTCAATAAGTTGACCTTTAACCTTCATCAAATATCTGTCAATACTCAGAAACTTGACCTTTAACCTTCATCAAATATCTGTCAATACTCAGAAACTTGACCTTTAACTCTGACCTTGACCTGTATTCTAACAGTTTCAATTCTTTGTAATTTTCCAACTTTTGCACTATTTATTTCAGGCGGAAAGCAAATGAGATTTAAGGGTGAACTCGTCAATTTTGGGGATGAAAATGACCGCGCAGAAGGTTTCATTACCGTTTGCTTAGCACACCTGTACTACATTATAGATCTAATTCTCGAGTGTCGATGGTGTCAACTATATATATATACCTGCATCCTGAATGTCAACAATAACACACTGACTTCCGTCTCTCATATCTTACCCTTGGTAGTCAATCCTCATATAGTCAGAAATCGTAGCTTCATAACTGCTTTGAATGACACAAACAATTATTTTATGGATACGCTTTAATGTGTACATGTTTATTTATTTGTGTTGACTTGTTTGTTGCATTTTACATTTTTGATTTGATTTGAATAAATTTGTTAATTGATCTTCAGATTAAATAATTAGCATGTGAATTTATATGGTGGAAGAATCTTGAGTTAAAGTTAAGTGCATGTTTGTCATTGTCGTCCTAGTTAATCATACACAATATATAACGTTAATGTCAAAAACTGTACATAACATCGATGTTTATCGACCACAGTATGTAACATTAGTATTTATCAACTAATGTACATAACATCGATGTTTATCGACAACAGTATGTAATTTTAGTGTTTATCAATGACTGTACATAACATCAATGTTTATCGACAACAGTATGTAACATTAGTATTTATCAATGACTGTACATAACATCGATGTTTATCGACAACAGTAGGTAACATTAGTATAAATTTATCAATGACTACATAACATCGATATTTATCGACAACAGTATGTAACATTAGTATTTATCAATGACTACATAACATCGATATTCATCGACAACAGTATGTGACATAAGTATTTATCAATGACTTTACATAACATCGATGTTTATTGACAACAGTATGTAACATTAGTGTTTATCAATGACTACATAACATCAATGTTTATCGACCACAGTATGTAACATTAGTGTTTATCAATGACTGTACATAACATCGATGTTTATCGACCACATTATGTAATTTTAGTGTTTATCAATGACTACATAACATCAATGTTTATCGACAACAGTATGTAACTTTAGTGCTTATCAATGACTGTACATAACATCAATGTTTATCGACAACAGTATGTAACTTTAGTGTTTATCAATGACTGTACATAACATCGATGTTTATCGACCACATTATGTAACTTCAGCGTTTATCAATGACTACATAACATCAATGTTTATCGACCACAGTATGTAACATTAATGTTTATCAATGACTGTACATAACATCAATGTTTATCGACAACATTATTTAACATTAGTTTTTATCAATGACTACATAACATCATTAAAAAAAAAAAAAAATACAATAACCTAACACTTAACAGATTTTTTTGGAAAGTAATTCTAAATAGGATGTTCCATAAAGTTCATTATTTACAATAATAATAATGATAAAAAATGATATTTAGAATATAATGTAGATTCCCTGTTATAATGATTTCTATAAATATTAGCAATCTCTGAAGTTGTCAGTTTCCTTGTTGATGAAATAAAGTGTACTCGACATCAAAATCTACTCCATGAATGTATATTGTATCATTTGTCCAAGTCACATATTACAAGTCCTAGAACATGTTTTCAGTATTAGAAAAATTGTATTAAAACATTTGTATTCTTCATTTCTCAAATTAAAATGGGCATGATTGAGACATTAGCTCGGGAGAAACGTTTTCAGGAGTGCCAATTGGTTCTTGTTGTTTGCCACAGAAATTTTCAAATGGATTTTCTAAAATTTGTTATGCACAGTTTTAGTTGTATACATGTATATAGTTGGCCACAAGCTGCAGCATACATACAATCTTTATTCTGCACCTCCTCAAAATCCAAAGGTATCGCTCTCGACAGACATATCTTCTCTGGACACAGGAATATGTTATGACAAATATTTGCGCCTTTGTACGCGTGACGTTACAGGTAATACAAGTTCACTAGTCTGATGTCTTTGAACAAGATGAAAGAAATATCACAGCAACAGGCAGTAAAAATTGATCGGCTTTGAAGTTCAGGGCCCATATTCATGAAATCGTTTTCATCCTCAAACCCATCTTCGCTAGCCAAGTGTTCGCTTCGTATACACTCCACTTACCCTAGGGTAAGTGAGTCTATACAAAGCAAACACTTGGCTAGCGAAGATGCCTCAAACCCAGATTCTGTGCTCAAGCCCATTTTTTTTGTGCCAGGTGTAGATCTTCTGAAATCTTCGAAGAACTGGTATAAAGCTAGCGATTGGTCAGTTTTTTACACTCAAATTACCAATCAAATAGCATAACCATGATCAAAAATTTTGTCACATCATAATCCAAGGATGTAGAGAAGATAAAGGTATCGAGAGCAGAATTCTTTGGATTTTGAAGATACTGTCTGCACTGCTGACATCTTTAATCTCCGACTTCAAACACATGCATGCCTCCTATGTTTACAGTCATGTCTTTACAGTTGATAATTACCCTGAAATTTTGCATCCCACTTTGCTAGATTATGTAAAGTTTGTATGGCATATCACTGTCATTTTATGAATTCAACTGTTTACATAGTTCATTATGAAATTTGTCATTTCATTTTCAAAAAAAGTTGACCTTGTATTTTGGATTTGATTTATGTCCTGTTGATTCTACAAGAGATGAAATGCTGACATGAACAAGTATAGTTTTAAACATTAGTGTTCAGTTATTAGTTATAACAGCTTGCGTGTAGGTTCATGCATCATAGATTCACATGCCTGATATGTAAGAATTACCAAAATTGTCTTATTCGATTTTCGAATATTATGCTGCCATGTTTTAAAGCACGGGTAAATATGAATGACTTCGTCGTTTAGCAAAAATATGTCCAGAACTTTTTATCATTTGCTTGAACCCCGATGGAAAAACAATTCTGCTGCAAAACTGTGTTTTTATTTTGACCTTGACCTTTGACCTTTCTCCTTTATAGAATCAAAGAAGGAGGTCACAGTGGCCGTCATCAAACCAGACGCTGTGAAGGCTGGCAAAGTGGATGAGATTATTGAGGACGTAAGTATGGCCTTGCTTGTCGCTGTCTCTCTTTGTCAAAAAAAGTATTTTCTTCATTGTTCAATGAATTTCATCTATACAGTTCATGAAATAGGAATTCATTTCAGATTTTCTTATCACATGTGTCACGTACGCGATGATCATGTAAATAGACACATCAATAATTTGACCAGAAAGAGCAATGAACATACCATGTTTGTTTTCATGATATCATCTCATTGTTCCTTTACTCATTCACCCCTGAAGACACATTTGAACTCTTCCAATTCAAAGGTTGAAATAGTTCATTATGAAACTTCAGGGGTGAATGAGTTAAGTGATGTCAACGGGTTGTGTTACACATATTACATATAGTAAAAATGATTTTTTTAACATGTCTTAAACATATAATGGATAATTACTGCAGCCTCTACTATTTTTGGGGACATCAGTTTGGCGGAATGTTGTGTTGAGTAACTTTGTCACTTAAATAATTGTTTTCAATAGAATGTCTTTGTTTTAACCCTTTCACCACTGTAGACCATAATGGACTCATCCATATCAATGCATGGCAGGGTCTACTAAAGTTACATAGGGGTGAAAGGGTTAAATAATTTTTTTATCTGAATTTATCGTTTTGGAAAATTTTCTTGAAAGTTATCTGCTGATATTTTGATAATCCATAAATCAAGGCTTGTTTAGTTGTACCTGTAGTTACGGAATATCAGCTACGTTTTATCGTTCCATTTTGTGTCCAAAGATCAAGGCCCATGGCATCGAGATTCTGAAACAGGAAGAACGGTTGATGACTGAGGACGAAGCAAAGAACATCTACACCCATCTCCAGGACGAAGTAAGCATATACATATATCACAATGTCATTGTGGCCTGTCATGTGTAGTGTCTCATTCAGTGAATTTTTTTTTTTTTTTAAATGAGATAATTTACCCATATTTCTGATTGGCTGTCATTTCTTACTTGGGAGTAATAAAACTTTTAAGAACTACAAACTAAAACAAAATTTAATTGCATAACTATTTTGTGAAATTACATGTATTGTTAAGTTCATACTTGTGTTGCCCTCAATTCTAATATGATATATTACATTCACAGGATAGACTATCACAATTTTAAAAATTTAATTTGTCAATGAACATATTTTTATACTAGTGTAGTTGAACTGTATTGTGTCGATCGTAGACAACCTGGTAGCTCAATTGGTAGAGCATCCGTCTAGAGTTCAGAGAGTCCCGGGTTCGAACCCCCGGTATGGCCGTGCATTTTTCTGCTCCTGTTACATTTGGTGCCTGTGACGAAACCTTGTTTCAAGTACTAGTTGAATGCTTCAATCAGACGAGGTGATACCCGAACCTGGGTTTTAAATAATGTTGTCTTCGGGGGCAAGGCTTCGAAAAAGGAGGGAGGAATGTAGCTGAACTGGACTGGGTCTGGTCATGCATTTAGCTGCTGCTGCATGCTATTGTTACACTAGATACTCATACATACTCATACCTTATTAAGAACACTTCCTACCTCCCTTTCTAGGATTTCTTCAACGATCTAATCACATTCATGACAAGCGGCCCGTCTCACATATTGGTACTCACAAAGGGACGAACGGGCGAAAACATCATTAATGAATTTAGGGATTTAATCGGACCTACGTCAGTGGAGGACGCGAAGGAAAAACAACCAGAAAGGTGAAGTTGCCATGACAGTAGTTTATAACAATCAGATTTGTTAAGATTATTGAAAAGAACGCTCAAATATAATAATAGAGGTTAAAGAGAAAAATGTCAAAATTGCGATCTATACTTATCATGACTCTGCAAAAATGAAATTACGTCAATTGATCAGATTGGAAAGTAAAAAAGATATTTATCAATTCTATTTCTTAATTTCACAGCTTGAGAGCAAAACACGGTGAAAAGACATTTATGAATGCCCTTCACGGAAGTAGCTCAGATGACCAGGCTATGAGGTAAAACATTTATCACTCGCTCCACAAATGTCTGTATAAAAAGAACATGTTCCTGATGAAGAGAGAATGTGTTAGGGTCCAAGACAGTCTTCCCTGTCGTGTGCACTGATAAAACTATTGCCAGAAACAAAGGAAAGGTTTCATTTAATGTCGTAGAGTCTAAACATCTAAATACATACATGCCAACTCTTCCTATTTTGGAGGGAGACTCCCAATTTTGGACCCTAAAATTGAGCATTTTCAACCAGTGAATTTGCTAAACTATTCCTATTTTCTAAGATCTGCTGATTTCATCTGAAAAAAACACAGCTCAAAATATGCCGTTGAAAGGTGATTTTTTTTCCCTATGGGATATATATATATACACACATTTTATTGACGTTTTTAATTCTGAGTACATGTATTCTCCCCATTAACATTTCAAAATGTTGACAAGTATGTAAACAGATTGTTTGTTGAATAGGTGGCACGGTACCTAGTTACTCAGGTATGATAATTAGGCAATACACCGTCTACAGCAATCTCAGATCTAATTTAAAATGTGTTCTGCTCACATCTTTTCCCACTATGAAGTAATATGTTTAGTGATTTACAAAAACAATTATTTTGAAAATAAACGAATATCTGTGAAATGTGTCCAAAAAACATGATGGATGTTGTAAAATGATGTTATTTTTCTTCCTGCAGGGAACTTGCCTTCTTCTTCCCAGACTTTGCCATACCTGCATCAGAAGGAAAACCCAAACTACAGAGAACTTTGGCCCTTATCAGGCCGGACGCCTTCAAACTACACAAAGGTAACACCTCAGACTGTGACATCATTATTTAAGTCGGTTGAGAAAAAGTTTCATCACATAATGTACGTACTATGTTATCCAGTGAATATACCCGTGTCATATTGTTTTGCGTATTAACCCATGTTATATGACCTACCAGCCCTGTGATTGGTTGAAAGTTTCAATTGTGTCAATTGTGATGTCACGCCTAGGACAAGTACATGACGTCACAGGCTTTTATGCACTGGAGTCAAAATGGCAGCTTTTTACATTTCGAGGTGGAATGAAAGTTGTCGTTTTACACGATTAATGCCTTAAATCTTGATTATGTGATAAAAAGGATCTTACACTCGTTTTCATTTCACATGAAATTTATGAAACTCGTCACAAGTTTTTCATTTTAGCTCACCAGAGGCTTGCTATATTGAAAAATTCTTAGACTTGCTTCATAAATATCATATGAAATGAAAACTCATGTAAGATCCTATATGTATACGATAAAACTGCAAAAGTTGACATCTCAGAGTTATAAGTATAATTACACAGTGTGCTGTGATAAGAAAGAGAATGCATTTCAAACTATGTAAAATTAACGGCTAAGATTAAGTTAACTGTACTTTAGTTCATTGAAATAGGCTGAGTCCCTGTCCTCAGTGTTATAGTTAGATGAGAAAAAAAGGTGTATACATTCCAACTACGAAATTGTTATGGCTAAAATTGAGTCGGACGTATTTTAGTCTGCTGAGGCCATACCCTAAGTACTGCAGTCTGCGGAGATAAGACAAATACATTCAAACTTTGTGTCCTTACAAGTTTAGATAAATCTCAGATATGTTGTTTATGTCCGAGTCAAGCGTTTGTTCCATTGTAAGTTGTTTTACTGAGTACACTTTTCTTCGACATCTAATTTCCATTTGTATTTCAAAGTTTCTCCATAGTCCGAACACTGACACTGTAAGACTTTCATCAGCAAGGTGCATCCAAATTATTCAGGTCTATTTGTGTCACCCAGACCCCAACCTAGTTTCTGTGACCTTATTGTATTCAATATATGGCAGTGACAAAATAATTCAAAAATCAACAAAGAGGATTCGAAAACAAGTACATAAGTACTTATATCAATTCGTCTCCTTGAACTTCTGTGACCTTAACCATGCAATGTTTTGTTACCTTAGTGAACACTGACCTTGACCTTGACCTGACCTATATTTCTGTCTTACAGATGAGGTGATGCAGATGATCAATGAGGCTGGGTTCAAGGTCGCTTTACAGAAGGAAATGTCGCTGACAAAGGAAATGGCTGAGGACTTCTATCGGGAGCACGAGGGCCAGGAATACTTTAACGAACTCACAACGCGAATGTCAAGGTCAGTGTAACTTATTTTATATCATCATCGATATTCAAGGGATTAGGAGGCACGGTAGTCACGCTTTATCACAACCTGGTTCGTAATTGATCTCAAAGCGGTTCACAAATTATTATCCGTAGTTATAGGGCAATTTCAACCAGCCAATACCTTTCTCAACTTCCTGGGGAGCATACAGCTGGAGCTGCCATTTAGGCGCTAACAGCTAGCATTCAACAATTCTAGCACTGCCCAACCATGTACTCATTTACAGCTTGAGCTAAGACTGGAACAAGCGGGGTAAATTATCTTGCTCAAAGATACAACACTGTGCCGTGCTGTGACTCGAACCCACAACCCTTCGGTCACAAGCCCGGCGTCCTACCACTAGATTACCGTGCCTCCTGAGTTACCCTGAAAGAATAATACTGCAGTTTTATAAGTCAAGCAGTTATACAAGGTAGCTTTTTTAGTAAATAAAAATCTGTCTACATATTGTTCAAATATTTAAATGTTGCCTTTGTTATGTTTCAGTGGTCCCCTAATGGCACTTGGCCTGGCAAGAGAAGATGCAGTAGAGGGCTGGAGGAGTATGTTAGGTCCCAAGGAGCTAGACAAAGCCAAGGAAGAGTCACCAGATAGGTAAGGGGACACAACTCACTGTTACTGTGGTAAAAACCCGAAGAAATGGTGGACAAAATTCCCTGTAACACGGAGCATGACTCATTATAACAGGGGACATAGCTCATTATAACAGGGGACATAACTCATTATAGCAGGGGACATAACTCATTATAACAGGGAACATGGCTCATTATAACAGGGGACATAACTCATTATAACAGGGGACATAACTCATTATAACAGGGAACATGGCTCATTATAACAGGGGACATAACTCATTATAACAGGGGACATAACTCATTATAACAGGGGACATGGCTCATTATAACAGGGGACATAACTCATTATAACAGGGGACATAACTCATTATAACAGGGGACATGGCTCATTATAACAGGGGACATAACTCATTATAACAGGGGACATAACTCATTATAACAGGGGACATAGCTCATTATAACAGGGGGCATAACTCATTGTCACAGGTGGCATTCATTTATTTCTAGATGCAGGCCTTGACTGCATTTTTCTGTCGAAAGTTTTGAGAGTAAGAGATAGAATAACATGTCCTGGCAGGACATTCCTGATTAAGCAATTGTTGTTTGAATGATTATTTTACTTGTCAAATCTGCTGTAGCCTTTATTTAAGCTTACCCAACATTCCAATGATATACCAGTCTTTATAAATGTGGAAATGATTTTTCGTGTCTAAACTTCTCCGGTCTTTACATAAGCTTACCCAAAATTCCACTGATTGTCCAGTAATTGTTCAAAGAATTATTTTCTTGTATTCATCTGCTTTCGCACTTTCTATGCTAGTTTTTACTTTCTACATGATCAATTGTGCGACTTTTGTAAAAGTTGAACAAACTTCCATTACTTGTTTGTATGGCATGTGACTTGAATGACCTATTTTCATTGTTTTACAGTTTAAGAGCCAAATTTGCATTAGAAGATGTGGCAATCAACCAGTTCCATGGATCAGATTCAGAAGCTGCAGCACAAAAAGAACTAGACTTTTTCTTCCCAGTACAACAAACGATCGCCGTTATCAAACCAGATGCTTTAGGAACAAAGGGTAAGATATACCCTTTAACCCTTTCATCCCTATGTAACTTAAGTAGACTCCACTATGCATTGATCTGGTAAAGTCCATTATGGTCTACAGGGGTGAAAGGGTTAATGGACACACATATAGTTGGTTTTCATTTTGTTTCCTTGTCACATTGGATTTCACTTGTCAAGTTACCTGGTATAATGGATAAATCAGAAATAGTTTAATCTTCAATTGATAAATGTTCTATTAATAACTTCAGTTCAGATTTGATGTCAGATTCAAGTTAACTCATTCCCCCCCGAAATTTCATAATGAACTATTCCAACCTTTGCATTGGAAGAGTTTAAATGTGTCTTCAGGGATGAATGAGTTAAGAGCCAATTTTGGTTTTTTTCTTTCTGTTGCAAACCTACTGATAGCTCTGTATTGCAGATACTTGCATTGAAGATGATTTCCCAATGCTTTCGTTTGTGTTAGAATTATTTTAATGTTGGATGAAGATAAAGGCATTGATAAGGTGTTTTCCAAGATTATCAATTTTTGAAAACCTTATTGAACATCATAATCCAAAAAATAAATACCAGTATCCATGTTTCAGGTATCCCAACCTACCTTAGATTTTCCTGCCAACCCTAGGAATTTTATCACCTTCTTGTATCTAAGATTAATTTATTAGCCAGGCAAAGTTCACAGTCACTCATTAAAATGTACTCTCTTCCTGTTCTGGTAGTCTGACACCTATTCTTGACTAATTAATAGCCATTGTAATGTGTGTTAATCCATTGCAAAATTTGATATGAAGTATAACATTGATCCATGGAAATAAACATTTATATCAAAATTAAATTATTTGCCTACTGACCTGCCGGCATGTTACCAGAAACACACATATTTTGTTTGGCCTAATTCGTGGATCTGTTTCACTGAATTTTCATTGAAAAAAGTTCATTGAAATATCATTTGTTCTAATTTGTCTGTTTAAACAACAGCAATAAAGTCAATTGTGTCTCATCACAATATATATTTATTGTATTGTCAGATGAAATTATTGAAAAAGTTCACGACGCCGGATTCAAGATTGCTGCCAGAAAAGAGACGACGTTATCTAGGGAAATAGCTGAAGAGTTCTACTCCGACCACAAAGACAAAGATTATTACAATGACCTTGTGGAACACATGTCAAGGTCAGTTATCCCGATCACTATCCATCCACGACAGCTTTTGACAATCGAAATGTTAATATCAAAGACATCTTAGGTAGCAGAGTACAGTAGAAACGGCTTGATCCTAATAATAAAGGACATGTCTCGGATAAACATGGATAGCGGATTCATCCTGCACAACACACCTACATATATATATATATATTTATGAAATACAGGTTTTTTTGAAGAATGATTTTTTTTCAAAAAGTGATTTCCTCAGATTTGGGACTTGTGAAAACCATGGTTACCACATAAAAAAATGCAAAAAAACATGATTTTTAACCCAAAATTTGGACACACACAAGTAGTATTTTTTTTCTTAAAACCTGTCTGAAATTGAATATCACCTACTCGGTAACAGAAATTCTCACATTTTAGCATAGGTCGTTCAACTGGATTTTTCACAATATCTACACATATGTGCCGAGTACAGAAATAGACAATATGAAAAGCTAGCTTTTGTTGTGTAGACGCAGATTTTTAAATGGCCAAAAATGTAATCTAAAACCCATTTGGATTTTTTTTTTCAAATGTGAAGCCTACATAGTCCACTTCATCATGTATATGCCAATTTTACTGCTGATTTTGTTTTTAAATTTTGATACATGTAATATTACAGGGGTTACTCATTGTACAAAAATATCATCCATGGCCACCATACGCTACTGTACACTGCTACCTTATAGGATAGATACCTCATTAAATGAAGAATGTTGACATATTAGTTTGAATTCAAGCTATGTATTCTTAAGTTGCATTCTTTAGCTAGATTAAGTATGCAGAAAAAGTAGAACACTTATCCGGAATGTGATCTTACGGAAATATTTTGTACCTCTATATATGTGTAGGGTAGCAAAGTGTAATTGAAAGGCCCTCTTCCTGTTGTCATTTGTGTCCTGTTCCAGTTGTCCCTTGTAACCCATTTTGGTTGTCATGTGTACTTTGTTGTTAGTGTACTTTGCTATCAATTGTACTGAGTTTTCACTTATCTTTGTTGTCATTTGTACCATGTGGTCATTCATAACCTGCTTTGGTTGTCATTTGGCCGTTGTCATTTAGCGTACAATGTTGTCATTGTTTGTGATTTGTAACCTGTCTTGGTTGTAATTAGCATACAGTGTTGTCATTTGTACGTTGTTGTCATCTGTTCAATGTTGTCATTTGTACCCAGTTGTCATTTTCAACCTGTTTGTTGTACATAAGTTCCAGGTGTTCTTCAAGACACATCACAAGTATTAAGTCTTAACTGAAGCCGTAGCCATTGTGTCGTTAAGATCTTCCCCATCCCTCCACTAATATAGTCAACAATTCATAAAAAAGACTTCTGTGACTAACTTCATTTTTGTTCCATTTAGTGGTCCTACAATGTTCATGGTGCTTTCGAGAGAGGATGCCGTAGACGGATGGAGATCACTGATTGGTCCAACTGATCCAGAGAAGGCTAAGGAAGAATCCCCAGACTCGTAAGTAATGCCACAAACTTCTATAACTTATAAAACAGAAGGCCATATTTCTGTTCAGTGATAAGTTCTGCTTAACCCTTTCACCACTGTAGACCATAATGGACTCATCCAGATCAATGCATGGTAGAGTCTACTAAAGTTACATAGGGGTGAAAAGGTTAAAGCAATATCTTCCAATTTTCACTTTTGAAACCTACACAATTCCAAGAATATTGCTTTATGCTCATATACAATTAATTTTTGGTGTAGAACAGCTTAACTCATTCACCCCTGAAATTTCATAATACACTATTCCAGCCTTTGAATAGGAAGAGTTCAAATGTGTCTTCAGGGGTGAATGAGTTAAACTACAGCACTTTACATGATTATTTTGTCAAATAGGGGTCATTTTAAGTACTTTTTAGAAATTGTTAGATTTTGCCAAACAGTTTTAATTTCCTCCATGAAAATTAAATTGAATGATTCGTTAGTATGACATCAGGTAGTGCAAAATTACCTGATGAAATTCAAAGTAACAAGCAGCTTATTGAGATATTTTTCTGTATGTATCAACCTTTTATCTTTTCATTTCTGTATGTTTTGTTGCGCCTTTCAGGAACTAACTCTGCAATAAAAAGTAGCATATATATCTTGATGGATCATTTTTGATGGAAATATTCAATATTTTAATACAGATTCCTTCTCTGTTTGGCTTTTGTATTCTGCTCTTAACTTTTTACAATATGGTAGATTTCGCTTATTATCACTTTTGATTTGTCAGATGAAATGTGATATTAACCAGAACGTGACATAAAAAGAAAACATGTTTTTTCTGACCATTTCAGGTGTCAAAACAAGGAAATTACCGTATTAAAATGTCCAAGTGATATGGTATTACAAAGAAGATATTTTAATAAAAATAATTATAACTAACGCAACTTTCTTTATTATCCGTGAAGTAATTGCTTTTTATTTATTTATTTCATATAAATATGCAGCTGTAGTTGGATTCATATTTAGAAAAAAAAAAGAAAAAAAAAAGTTTTTTAGCCTTTATTTATTATAAGATAAAGATAAAAATGAATAAAAAGGCTGATTTTTTTTTATTCCCAGGTTGCGAGCCTTGTATGGTGGTGATATCCTAAAGAACGCTGTTCATGGAAGTTCAAATGTAGACCAGGCGAAGACTACTATCCAGAAAATATTTGGTGATTTAAAGTTCACACCTGAGGGGTTGCTCATCACAGGTACCATCTGCTCCTTACTCTGTTGGCATCAGGCATGACCTTGACCTTTGGCTGATTTTGACCTTTACTCTCCTGTCTTGAAAACCCAGTATTGCATTATAGAGATTTTTCTTAGTTCAGTTTTTTATTAGATGTTCCTTCTTGTAAGGCATGCAGAATTTCTATATATATAATGACATTTTACACTCCATTACTTAACAATTGCAGTGCATTAGACAACTGATTCAGTGACATCAACTGTCATAAGGAAACTAAAAGATGATCACTGTTTTAATTTTCTAAATAAATTATACATAATACTTATTTAAAATTTTATTCATGCTAAAACAAGAATATTTTAGTCTGATTAAAATACATATCTGAATGTTTTTTCTCCAAGTACATGTATTTACACACACACACCATATTTTCTATGAGCACAATAAAACTAGTCTCCACTTATATCCAAATTTCTCCTTGCATATCCAGCCTGTAGCTTTTAGGATAGATAATCAAAATATTTATAACGCAAAATGCAAATTTCTATATAATTATCAACCTTATAGTCATATATATATAATAGCAGTTTTCACTGGTTTAAGTAATGCAAGCTTAATTAAAGACTCTTATAAATTAGGGACTTCACCTGCTTAACTTTGACCCTGCACTCTCAGATACCTACGTACCCTTGCACAGCTTTTAAGTAGTTAGGCTCATACAATGTATCCATGGAGATACCGTCATATGAAGGAGAGCTCAGAATGGTAGCTGTACATGTTGGCTTGGTGTTGGTTCAGCGAGAGAAAGGAAGTGAAATCTGGAATCCGATTCAGATTCAGAATCTTTATGAGCCGAGAGCCATACAATGCATAGGGCTGGAACGGGTGACCGATGTTGACTTATAGCGAAGGAAAGGTCAGGTAGAGATTAGGGCTGGAACGGGTAACTCACCGATGTTGACTTATAGTGGAGGAAAGGTCAGGTAGAGATTAGGGCTGGAACGGGGACTGATGTTGACTTATAGCGAAGGAAAGGTCAGGTAAAGATTAGGGCTGGACCGGGGACCGATGTTGACTTATAGTGGAGGAAAGGTCAGGTAGAGATTAGGGCTGGAACGGGTGACCGATGTTGATTTATAGTGGAGGAAAGGTCAGGTAAAGATTAGGGCTGGAACGGGGACCGATGTTGACTTATAGTGGAGGAAAGGTCAGGTAGAGATTAGGGCTGGAACGGGGACCGATGTTGACTTATAGCGAAGGAAAGGTCAGGTAAAGATTAGGGCTGGAACGGGTGACCGATGTTGACTTATAGTGGAGGAAAGGTCGGGTAAAGATTAGGGCTGGAACGGGTGACCGATGTTGACTTATAGCGAAGGAAAGGTCAGGTAGAGATTAGGGCTGGAACGGGTCACCGATGTTGACTTATAGTGGAGGAAAGGTCAGGTAAAGATTAGGGCTGGAACGGGGACCGATGTTGACTTATAGTGGAGGAAAAGTCAGGTAAAGATTAGGGCTGGAACGGGTGACCGATGTTGACTTAGAGTGGAGGAAAGGTCAGGTAAAGATTAGGGCTGGAACGGGTGACCGAGTACCCGGTTGCGGTTCAGTTACAAGTAGTTTAGTTCCTTCACATGTCTAGATCGAGAATTTTTTTTATCCGTTTATATTTTTCTGATAATTTGGGGTCTAAATTGAGGAAATATAAGCCCACATAAATAACCCATTATAAAGTAGGTCGTTGCCAAGGGGACTCTACTCTGTCCAGAGGAGATCTTTATCTAATGTCAAGAGTTCATTGTAAATAGTCTCTGTTAATCCAAATATAAGTCAGAAACCTTCCAAAGTATGTTGTATTCTAAGGGACATAACTGTGTTCAGTGTAATTTATAACCTAAGGGACATAACTGTGTTCAGTGTAATTTATAACCTAAGGGACATAACTGTGTTCAATGTAATTTATAACCTAAGGGACATAGCTGTGTTCAGTGTAATTTATAACCAAAAGGACATAACTGTGTTCAGTGTAATTTATAACCTTAGGGACATAACTGTGTTACATGTAGGTTGTTCAGGGACATATATCTGTGACAAGAGTAAGTTGCTAAGGGACATAGCAGTGTTTATTGTAGATAGTACTCTGTGAGATATAACGATATTCAGAGTTCATTCTTATTTTTGAGGATAGTACTATGTCCAGAGCAAGTTGTAATTTAAGGGCCATAACTCTTGTCGTCTGAAGTTGGCAGTAGAAAATAATCTTAAACAGAATGTTGCATGAATTTATTCAGATCAAAATGGGGATTAATTAGTAAAATCTATTTTTTTTTAACAATCAACATCTTGTCCAGGTTGTTTCAATCTATGGAACATAGCTGACTGGTTGCAGACTAAATTAAATTGAGATACAGGATAGTTAGACAAAACATATTTCTGAATACATTGTATAGGGTCCCTGTTTATCTGTTTCGAACCATTTGGCCCTTAAGATTTTTTATTTGATTTCTCAACAACGAATCAATCATTTAAATAATCCAGATTATTATAGATTCAAACTGGACATTGCATGCACCAATTTTATTACCTACATATACACCTTGACACAGAATCTTTGCATGAAGAAGTACATTTGTGTATTAGTGCATGAATTTTATTTGAAAAATCTGATATACTGTGCACATATATCGTTGAGCATGGCTGCATGTATAAATTATTACCATAGCTTGAATGATATTTATATATATATATAAAGAACAGTACAATATACCATGGTGGCAGATTTAAAGGGGGAGTCAAGGGGACCCGAAGAAGGTCAATGGGTCAAGGAGGTCAAGGGACTTATGATGGTCAAGAGAACTAGGGATTTCACGGGAACCTTAAGGCAAATAAGAAGGTCAAGGGAAGCAAAATTGTTAAGAGAGGGTCAAGGGAACCTAGAATGTCAAAGCAACCAAGAGGGCCAATAAGGTCAATGAAGTATAGGGGGAGAGGACGTCATGGGAACCAATAAGGTCAATGAAGTATAGGTGGGAGAGGACGTCATGGGAACCAATAAGGTCAATGAATTATAGGGGGGAGAGGACATCATGGGAACCAATAAGGTCAATGAAGTATAGGGGGGAGAGGACGTCATGGGAACCAATAAGGTCAATGAACTATAGGGGGGATAGGACCTCATGGGAACCAATAAGGTCAATGGGTCAAGGAGGTCAATGTGACCAAAGGTGTCACAGCGATCAAAAGGGCAGTGGTAGTCCAGGGAAGTCAAGGAACTGAAGGAGATGAAGACAATTCAAAAGGATAAAAGGGGTAATCGACCAACCAGAAGAAAAGCCCAGGGAATGGAAGCTCTATACTTTTATGGTGCTAGGTTATTTTGTATGTAAAATGGCATCTCTTGGTGTGTTGTTTTTTTGAAAGATTACGATATTAGGAGTTAAGCATCATAAAACAGAATCTTGCATTCAACTTCAATTAACCTACAATGAAGTCATTTCATTTTGCACAACTCAGTTTAACATTGATAATTTAAGCTGGATAATTTAACCATTAAACGGAGTCAATGAATCCAAACAAACATTTCATAGAAAATATAAGTCCAAATACTCAAGGTCAGCCTCGTCATCAGAGCTCAGAAGCAGCGGAAGGTACAGCGTTTTTTGTTTGTCTGTTCATCTCACAGCGAGTAACCGTGTGTTTTTGCGTCTGTTTGTCCCATAGAGGGTACTATGTGTTTTTGCGTCTGTTTGTTTCACAGAGGGTACCGTGTGGTTTAATTGTTTGTTCGTCTCGCAGAGCGTACCGTGTGTTTGTGTATCTGTTTGCCTCACAGATAGTACCATGTGTTTTTGTGTCTGTTTGTTGCAGTTGCTAACTTCCTCTTTTTGTGCTTGTTACTAATATTGTTTGTCCCTCATTTGTGGTTGTCAGACATATTTTTATCATTTGTTCATCTCGCTAATTGTTATGTCCTAAGATCGAGTCATATCAATTATTCGACCAATCAGAATTGTATGTTAAAGTTGCTCCTTTGTAAGGTTGTGCAGTACTCTATGTGTATGTTGCTATAAATTTTATTCTAAATCTACGACAAAAAACAAATAACCAGACTTTTATTTTCTATAGCATTAACAGTTAACATTTATTTTTATTTTTCTACAACAACATGTATGTGTTTCGCAACTTACGACTCGTGAAATAAACAGCCGTTCGGGTGATTAATATGTTTTTGTTGGAAGCTTCGCTTTGCAACATCATATTCAAACGAATTAGCAATGTGACAACTGACATCATAATTTGTGGTGATTTCTTCCTCTTCCTTGTCATAAAGAATGTAACGTAAAATATCACTTTCTTGGCATTAGAATATTGTGATGGAAAGTTTGTATAATTGTAAAAAGAAAAACTCACTTGGTATTCAATTTGAACATTATCTGACAAGACTTTGGTCAAATGACAGCCAACCAGCAGCTATAGTGGGATCTGTATCTAGACCTAAGTAGTCGCTGCCTGTACGCTTGTCAGACAAATGGATTTCTTCTGTCGCTTTTAACAAGTCTGTATGTGCTGTTATATATATATATATATTACCTAGCCTATACCCCTTGGTTTATTTTGTGTACTCTGTAAACATTTTATATATCTGTATGTGATATGGCTGCCCTAACACTATGCTTATAGATTACAAAGATTTTTCCTTAATATTTGTGTTTTTCTATAAGCGCTTTAGAGTAATTTTACAAATTATATAGGGTGCTATATAAATGTTGTATATTATTATTATTATTGAAAATTGGCGTTATTAACTCATCCACCCCTTACATTTCATAATGAACCATTCCAACCTTTGAATTGGAAGATTTCAAATTTGTCTTCAGGGGTGAATGAATTTGTAAAAAATTATTGTACAATGCATTTGTGAATGTTTTTTTTTATGATTGATAAAAGATACGTTAAGCATATTCTAATCCTGTACAATGATATCTTATTTAAGTTTTAAAAATATTTGTAAGATTCAGTTGTGTGTTGCTTTAGGCCTCACTGTTGGATTGTGGATAAGATTTGAGGAATAGTAACAATGTGATTTTTTTTCTATTTCATTCTTTCAAAAAGTGCTGACTATATATAAAGCATGATAAAGTGCTGCCAATAGACATTTATAGTAGATTCAGGTCTTTTTAAAACAATTTTTTCTTTTATAAAATTAGTTTAATTTTTTTCATGCAAAGGGAATATAATTCATTAGCATATATGTTATACAATTAACCAATTTCTTTTCCTGTTGGAATTGTTAGACGAGGCAGAAATGCAAGAGCAAGGTGAGTTATGTAGAAATTATACCCCAGTAGACTTAGTGTAGTACACTTATATTTTATATATTTGTAACTCGCCTGATTTAACAAAGTTAGTGAAGTATCAGGCTTACTTAATTTATATGAAATATTCAATTTTTTGGAGAATGTTTTTTTCTGATATAAGCATGGCAATACATTTGCATGTATGTTTGTAGGTTTTATAGTAATTATTGAATAATTTCATTTCAAAATAATTTTTACATGATGATTTTTTTCGTATTTTGGGCAGATTTGTATACGAAAATAATAAATTCAGTATTTCAATATTGAATGAAATGTTATTTTGAGACTCAGGTGTTACAATGGCCATTCTGTGACAGGGAGTGATTTTTATAATAACTGACCAATGTATCACTACCAAACACAAACAAATATTGTATTGTAACGATTATCTCCTATGTCAGAGGAAAAATCAGAGGAAAAGACAGAAGAGGCAGGAGAGGAAGCACAACAAAAGACAGAAGGAGAAGAACAAAAAGGTTTCAATCCTTGGATGCTATTCATCTATTCTGATTTCTGTCTTCTGTCTTCCTCCATTTGGCGGTATCCTAATCATTTATAATTTGGTGTGGGTGTCTCTTAACTTTAATTTTTAGAATCTTATCATGTAACTCTATTAGTTTGTCTCAACTTTAATACTTTGCTGTCAGAACGTGACAACTTACAAACAAGCCTGCTTTTATGAACGTATACTTGGTTTCTGCGGACTTCCTGTTTTCATTGTGAGTTAGAAAATAATTAACTTCTCTCTCTAATATTATATATTTTCTGCTGAATCTTATCAATGGTTTCTCAGATTTTTCCTGTTTATTTTTTTCCCTCATTTTTCTTCATTTACACCTTCTACACTACTTGTTGCTTCAAGATCTTGAGCAGCTTACAAGCCTCTGACCGATTTCGAAGACCGTAATTATTCATGCATATATTGCCTTACCAACTGCTCTTTCTAAATTTGGCTGTGCTTACAAATGTTTGTCAACATTCAAACTGCTAGTACATATGTACTCTGCTTTTGTGAACTTCTGCAAACTCTTTTCTTTACTCTTCAAGGTATTATGACTTCCATTCTCATGCTTTTTTGTGTACTTAAATTTTGCTGTTAATAATTCCAAAGCTATGAACATGACATCAGCTTTGAGGAGACATGTTGCGGTGTTCATTTCCCCTAATTGCTTTAGTGTTGATGTCGGATTGTTCAGCTGTTTGAGGCTTAAGTATTGATTTCTATTTTATCATCAGCATTCTATAACTTCTCTGGTACATGTACACCTGATTTTATTCCCTCTGCCAGAATGATTGGATACAAAAATTACTTTGTATTTCAAGTAGACTGTAGTCTGTCTTGTCGAAGCTTATATATAATCCAAAAACCTGCAAATAGCAGATCATCAGTCTTATGATATACTGAAAATTTGATGTAAATTGGTTGGGTTTTTTTTCATTTCCTCAAAAATTTTTAAGATACTCTACATTGTTATGACCATATAACTATATTACAAATGATGGGTTCTCTACATTATAGACAGGTATTGTTGGCCTCATCTTCCATTAAGACAGACTGCTGTATACTTCTCGCTACTTCCTGGTACAAATATTCATTTCATTACTGCTAGATTATACCTAGCCTAGAGATCACAAAATGTTTTAGACTCAAGTCCAAATTTGAATGTTTTGAAATTATTTTTGCTTACATAAAAATATGATTTAGTTTCGTCTACATGTATATACACGTATATGTATTGTGTAAAAAAGACAGTGTCATGAAATCTAGATTGATTTAAAAAAATCATGTAATCAACATTTGAATTTTGGATGTAAGTGTCAGACTGTTTTGTGATCGTGGGCTCTAGAGTAATGGGTAGCTGTACACATTCTGCTTGCTTTCTTTCAGCATTGTATTTTTGAACTGCAACATGTCCTAGTTCAAGATTTTGAAGTGTGAAATGTAACATTCCAATGTAATCTGGTTTACTTAATACAGGTTACATGTTGGTATTACCGTGGTAGTGAGTAATCAAAACTTTGCATGAAATAATTGTAAATAGGGATTGACATGTTTTTACAATTTCAGCATTTTCACTTTATTTTTTTTATAAGAATTACATTATCGTATGTCATTAATGAGATTTTAAATGTTAGCATAAATAAGTCATCTGTGATGCAATATTTTTTCAATAGCTGAATATTAGCTACATTTTTACATGCATAATGTTGACATCAATTCATGTATCATCCTCGCTCTCATCTGTCAGAGGGGGAAGGAGAAGAAAAGAAAGAGGAAAGTGCGGAGGGTGGAGATCAGACAACAGAACAGCAAGGAGAGGAACAAGGTCAGAGGTCACATTTTACACCAGATTAATCCTCTAACTGGGTAGTCGTGGTGATACTAGAAACTCTCTAACAAGGAGCTGTCATTACCCCTTTTCTATCTGGTGATATTCAGGATTATACTAAATGTAGTCAAAGTGATATATTATACTCTCTAACCAAGAAACTGCATATTTAATAATGCTTTTCTATCTGGTAACCTTCAAGGTAATATACTTGTTGTCATGGTGATATTATATACCTTCTAACCAAAGAGTTGTCATTTACGCTTTTCTTTGCGGTGACAAATAGGATTATACCTGTAGTCATGGTGATACTCTGTAACCAAGAAACTATCATTAACACTTTCTTATGTGGTAGCATACAGGATTTTACGTGTAGTCATGGTGATATTTTATACTTCTTAATGAAGAAACTCACTCATTAACACTTTTCTATCGTGTGACATTCTTGATCATACTTGTATAGTCATGGTTATATAGTATGTACTCTCAAACCAAAGAGCTTTTATCATTAATGCTTTTATACCTGGTGACTCTCAGGGTTTAATACTTGTTGTCATGGTGATGTCAAAACGTACCCTCTAACCAAGGTACTGTTATTAACACCATTCCGTCTGGTGACTAACATGGTTATACTTATTGTCATGGTGATAGCATATACTCTCTATTGAAGGAACTACCAAAAACAGTCCCTTTTCTATCTGTTGGCTTTCAAGGTTATATTTTTAGTCACGGTAGTATCATTAACTCTCCAAATCACTGTCATTGACACTTTTCTATCTGAAGAGTGAAATTCAGGGTTTTTATAAAGTCATGGTGATAAAGTTCCAAAGAGCTTGGAACCATAACAATTACTATTGGTAGCTCCTTATCATATGCTGTCTTTATTGAGTAGGATAGGAGATCAAATATAAACCTTCAGTAGTAAAGTGAATTTTGTCATTTTTTTCTTCGTTTTTTTCGCTGTGGATATGTTTGTAATGCTTCTAATTCACAATTTCTTATATAAAAAAATGGTTGTGTCATATTTCCTTCACAGAACAATTCATTCATTCCTTTTTTATATGAGTCTTATTATTTTATTAGCAATTAATTTTGCAAGCATTTATTAAATGTTGTAGGTTTATGCTTTGATATTTTTATGTCATATTTTAAGATGAGTGCTTGCTAAATTTACTGCCCTGTATGTTGTTTGCTATTGTTATTTAAGTGTTTTGATATTAATAGTTTTTGAAAAGAAGGTGGTATATCTATTCTGAATATGAATTAAATCTCTTTATGGCAATGGGGATAAAATTGTAATAAAAGTGACAAGAGAGACAACAGTTTTGGTGTAAAACAGGAACGCAATTCGAAAGAATCTCTCTGAGGGAGATTGTTTTTGCATGATGAACAAGGGTGACAGTTTTTGGCCAAGGGAGACAATCTATATTAGAGGGACAGTTTGTAATGAACTTAAATGCAAACTTTTTAAAGGTGACCTCATAATGACAAGGAAACAATCTTTGTAAAGGGAGAAAATATTAGCCAGAAAACAAAACGTGTGTGAGGGACAATCATGGTCAAAGGGAGAAGATTTGTCTAAAAAGAACAAGATGTGCATAGCAAGGGAGACAACTTTTGTCAGGGGTAGACAACTTTTTCTAAAAAAAATGTGCCTTATATTTCTGCATGCTTTATTATACAGCTGGAAACAGTTATTACTAACAATTTGTACTTTTATCTATTTTATTTATCATGTAGATTCTTATGAAGAGAACTTTTTATTTTGATTGTATTTTGCCTGAAAATAAGCCATGAATATTAATATGATATGTATAGATGTTTAATTAAGATACTATCAAGTAGAATTGTATGTTTTATTTTGAGTTTTAATCATTTTCTCCCACCTTGGACTGTGTTTGTGTCCCATATTTTATTCTGTGTGTAATTCCTCAAGCTTCATTTGATGTCACGTTTTATAATCAGATGACATGATATCATATCTTGGCAGTTTGCTTAAAAAACAGTCATTTTTGCCGTTACATCCTTTAAAGGGGTGGGGAAATATATATTTTCCTACCCTGAGCATATGACACAAAAAAAAAATCATGATTCTCACGGTGAGATTCTCGGGGTGAGATTTTCTTCATAATAACCTCATATTTCATTTCAATAAATTCAAACGGAACGTCAAAAGGATGGGCAACAGGCTATGGCTATGTAAGCCCTCTCAAATCATATTCGTCACTTACACATCACTGGCTTATCATTTTATGATTTCCAACTGTCATTATAGTCAAGTGTTTACCGAAACATTTTCTAAGTCCATGATCTACCTATCTGTGTTCCTGATTTGTCAGCTATATCATTGAATCAATGAATTTCACAGATGAAGGGAGGAAATCTGCGGAAGATAAACCCAGCAAAGAGCAAACAGGTATTACCCTTTACCTTCAATGAAATAGCTGCAATATTTATGTATTCTGCTCATTTGTTCTCTGGGAATATTTTTGGTGAAAACTTTTTGGTGTTGTTATTTCTTCCAAAGTTTTGTCATATTTTTCTTCTGAACTTTTTTTCTTATTGGTGAAATTTTCATGATAAAGTTCTTTGTTTTCTTATGCATTTTGGTATCTTGGTGACAAATTATTTCTGTGTACATGACAGAAACAAATCAAGCCACAGTTTATGATACTTTGCATCATCATAATTTTCATAGGGTAGAAACAGGCTGTCAAATTTTTAGTTCATAGTTGATAAATATACACATTTTGTGAATTAAATTAATCAAACAATTGTAAGGTGCTCTTGGAATACAAATGTTATATTATCATTGAATGGTAGCATTCATAAGGTCAATTAATGCAGACAATTGTTTTGTTGGTTTTCCAGAAAGCAAACAGACCGAGGAACCTTCTGAACAGAAGGAAGGTACAAGGCTATTGATATTGTCACTTGTAATTCTTATTTTTTTGGTATTCCTGACTTTACCTGTAAAACCCTGTACATTATATATACTTATCCTGTAGCCTTGCATGTGTATCAAAAACCCCTCATCTTCTTCTAGCTAATATAACCAGAGACTCATCTTCTAGCTAATATAACCAGGGACTCATCTTCTAGCTAATATAACCAGGGACTCATCTTCTTGCTAATATAATCAGGGACTCATCTTCTAACTAATATAATCAGGGACTCGTCTTCTAGCTAATATAACCAGGGACTCATCTTCTAGCTAATATAATCAGGGACTCATCTTCTTCTAGCTCATATATTCAAGGACTCATCTTCTTCTAGCTAATATAGCCAGGGACTCATCTACTTCTAGCTAATATAATCAGGGACTCATCATCTTCTAGCTAATATAACCAGGGAAGTATCCCTCATATAGTGCACTTTGAACCTACTTGTATATTATACACTTTTAAATTTTACTAAAGGTAGAAGATGTTTGTTGACTACTCCATCTGGATCACATTAGCACTTTTTTACTTGATATATATGTGTGGCAGGTTACAATTGCACATAGGATGATAGTTACCCTCTAGTTTCCCTTTAGTTCCATTTGGTACAGCTGCAGATTAGGAAGCTGGGGGTCATTGGTTCGACCCTCGGTGGAAGCACACTTCTCTATTTTCCTGTTATTTGTGTTTCAGCCTCCTAGGGAGGCCATCAGAATATAGAAAAATTCAAAGAACACGCCGGAAATACAAATTTTAGTCATGAATATTAAGGTTAACCGTTTCACCCCTATGTAACTTTAGTAGACTCTACCATGCATTGATATAGACGAGTCCATTATGGTCTACAGTGGTGAAAGGGTTAACCTTAATGAGCATTTTCTCAAAAAAAAAAAAAACTTGTTTATTTCTTATAAGATAAGTCAAAGAACAATTTAAAGATCTGTTTGACATAGATTATACATCTCCTTGGTATCTGTATTCTGTGGTCAGCACTTCACCATTCTGACCACTGTGTAAGGTTTTGATGACTTTTTAGGTCAAAGCAAGGTCATGTTAAGGTCATCTTTAGCATTTAACACTGTTGTCCTCAATCAGGTCCTGAGAGGATTGGGTTTATTTATTTCTCTCTCTCATCCAAGTTTCAATTATGGTCCAAGACTGGCTTCAAGACGATCGCATCCACTCTTTCAGCTGACGTGGTCAATCTCCTTTATCTTGTGGTCATTTTAGTTGTAATGGCCTTGACCAATCTGTATGATTGTACTCATTGATTCCCTGTCAATCACCACTGTCGAGCCTTGTTCTGGGGATGTCTTCTCCCGTCCTATCTGCTACTTCTATAGGCCGGCCTGGTAGTAGCTGCATTAATGTATCAGATCATAGAGATTGTCTGTCAAGAGTTTCCTCATCCTTTCTCCCAGTATCTGTCATTGAGTGTAAACATTGCATGCGCTTTGATTATTGTACCGTCCCAACAAGGAAATGTCTGTTTCAGCAGCCTTTGAACAGGACTATTTGCTTCCTCTACAAGCAAAACCCCTTAGTAAATATATATGATAACAAATTTCGATAATAGTGTGGTTTTTCACAAAGAAAATGCATCCTGTCATGATTCAAATATCTTTTTTGATTTTATGTTGTGTGTCTCTACTAAATTCGCAAAAACACACATGTATGAAAAGTCATGAGTTTTTTTCTCAAAATGTTGCTGTAAAAGGAAGAAATTCTTGAATTTTATTTCAATATTGGGCATGTTAAATTTTCTATGAATATATTAAGAACTAATTTTTTAATGATTATTTTCTTTTTTTGTTTTGGAATTTTTCTGAATTTTTGACAAAAGTATACAAAAGTACATTTTCTGAAAATTTACAAAGTTACCTCCCTTGGCAGAGTTAAATCTCCACAGTAATTTTTCAATTTTAAAAACAATTATGAAATTTATGTACATTTTTTCTTGAATCCTATTGCCAATTTCAGAGATAAACAAATCAAGGTTTTTATCAGTAAGATTTATCAAATAGTTCATAAAAAGTTATATATAAAAAAAAGTAATATCTTATTCAGACAGTAATCACATTCTTCACTAGATATCCTATGCCATTACATTGGGATTAGTACTTTAGTTATCTTACCTAACAAAGAATGTCTGACGTTTATCAATTCCTTTGATGTTATGAAAGTTTCATTAAAATTGTTGGAAGAAGACATGAACATGGTGAACGAGTTAGTGGGATACTAGTGGATTTGTTTACTGCATCTCATTTGATAAATTATCATGGACAAAATTTACGGGACAAACAATCTTGATCTGATTTAGCCTAGCATTGCAAATGAAAAAGAAAAAAGGAAATAAAGAAGAAAGAAAGAAAAGAAAAAAGAAAAAGCATTGTAATATTTTCTATTCCATTCGTCTGAAACCATACAACAAATCACCCCTTTGATAGAAAACTGTATTGGAGATTTAACGATATTGACGATTTCCTGGTTTTCTGCTAGTAACCAGGAAATCTCCCTATATCTTGTTGTATTCATTTGAGATGAGTCCATTATGGTCTACAGTGGTGAAAGGGTTAACAGCATTTGGAATATAAAGAGTTTATATTTTCCCAGTAGTTTCAGCTCTTTACAATGAAGTCGACATGAACTGCTGTCTGTTTCTTCAATATTATCCAGAAGTTGATTTCTTGCTTGATACTTCATATTTTATTGCTGAAAAGTGAAGTTTTCTTTTGAACCCTAAATCTGTTTCTTCAATATTATCCAGAAGTTGTTTTCTTGCTTTGAACTTCATATTTTATTGCTGAAAAGCGAAGTTTTCTTTTGAACCCTAAATCTGTTTCTTCGATATTATCCAGAAGTTGTTTTCTTGCTTTGAACTTCATATTTTATTGCTGAAAAGCGAAGTTTTCTTTTGAACCCTAAATCTGTTTCTTCGATATTATCCAGAAGTTGTTTTCTTGCTTTGAACTTCATATTTTATTGCTGAAAAGCGAAGTTTTCTTTTGAACCCTAAATCTGTTTCTTCGATATTATCCAGAAGTTGTTTTCTTGCTTTGAACTTCATATTTTATTGCTGAAAAGCGAAGTTTTCTTTTGAACCCTAAATCTGTTTCTTCGATATTATCCAGAAGTTGTTTTCTTGCTTTTAACTTCATGTTTTATTGCTGAAAAATGAAGTTTTCTTTTGAACCCTAATTTAGGGGGTGATAACTTGAGGACAGATTTCAGTTTTACAGTAACTGAAGAGTTCTAAAAGTTAATAGTGTTATTGCAATTTTGCTGACAATCGTCTTGATTGAAATAAAGACAGGATGGAGAGGAGATCGGTTTTAATATAACATACAAAACAGCTCTAAATTTAAAATAACCAGGATTGATATCCAAATTTCAGAATATTTTTAAGCAGTAAATTGCATGCGCTTGAATGTATTTTTTAAATATTTGTTTTTGTTCCTGTTTATTCTTGCTTCACCTCGTTATGTTATAAAATATTGCTATACCTGTACAAGATAATCTTTTTTAAACACATTGTATTTGTTTATTATGAAGTAATAAGTAACAAATGGTGTATAAGGTCAGTTACTTCTAAACAAATACCAGGATCACTTTTCATCTGTATCAAGCCTTGTCAACTTAATCATGCATGAAGTAAATGTTTAATCTATGATGTTTGCAGAATTATTGAGAAATAAAAGCAAACATAATATTGAAACTCTGATCACACTCTGAAATTAATGTAAATATGTTGCACATATTTTTACATATTTGAAAAAAAAAGTTTTTTTGATAAATCTATTACATGTATTACCTTAGTTTGGTGATAATGCTTGATTCAGCTGAACCCAGATGTAGTAGTTTTTAATATGTCCATTATTTTTGTGAATCCTGGAGATACCATTTTTCGGGATCCAAATGTAGTATTTTTACTGTATTTTGTACTAAAATACTAAACATTTTTTACTATGGTACATTAAACTACTAATCAGATTTTTATTTTATATTTATAGATTTTATAGATTTATTCAATGACTTTTTATACATGTATCATAATGTATGATATCCTTAAATTGCTTGCTTTATCAATGTCTGTTATGCGTACCCATCATGGCAATGTTGCGACAATAGAAATATTATTATATTATTATTATATATTATTGAAAGTGTTTTGGTTCATATGCCTGTTTGTATGAAATATAAATTTTAGCATAACAGTTTCAGGAGGTTACGTTCTATAGTGTATCCATTGTCAGAACAATGAATTGCCATGATCATACATATTTTTCTCTTTTTAAATACATTTTATTATTCCAGATGAAAGGTTTTTGAAAAATCTCAGAATCACTACACACTAAAAGACTCCTTATGTGTATAAATCAACGATTATAAATAAATAAATGTAGCGAAATATCTCTCTAGCTCAACCAGAGCAATTTTATCAAATGAGTGACTCTTTGAATTACACAGTAGAGCTTTAAGATACTAAGTAGTATTGGGCAGATAGTGGCCATGACAGTATAACAATGGAAGAGTTTATTTATGTTTTGTATTTTCTGATATATTTTCTTGTTTACAGCCATTTCTTTCAGCATTGCCTCTATTAACCTTTTCACCCCTATGTAACTTTAATAGACTCTACCATACATTGATATGGATGAGTACATTGTGGTCTACAGTGGTGAAAGGGTTAATGTTTTTATATGATCAGCATTACTATAAAAAAAAGTTTAACTTATATTCATGAAAAAATAAATAACAGGATAAGTCTTTATATTTTGAATCAATTTGAAAGCAAAGTTGTAAGAAAAGTTGTTGAGAGATTGAAAAGAGAATTTTTAAAAAGTTCAGCTTGAGAATGTATGTAATCTACGAAAAATACCTGTGATAGAGTTGTCTATCAAATATATTCTTTAAATAATGTTTACATTATCTTTGTGTTTGTTACCTGTGAAAATGACGTCAGATGAAAATAACTATTAAGCTACCAAATTGTTATTGTTGTCTGGACATAATGTTTTATAGGTAGTGTTTCCTGATGAAGTGTTGTATGTGTATGTATCATGTATGATATATATTGTTTTGTTTTTGTAGGAGATGTAGAATCACCGAAAGAAGAACAGGCAGAAACAAAAGAACAAGGTGGGTACCACTCTTTGTGACTTGGTGAACTGGAGTACCATCTATTTTTGTTTAAAAAACTACAAAATTAAATTTTCAACATCGCTATTTAAACATTTTAAAACATTCCAAGTTTCCATAGTAACCAAGTTCTGCATTAAATGATGTCAACAACAATAGCAACACATAGTAACTATGGTAATTCCTAGTTACCATGATACTGTTATTATACAGATCTGGTTAAAATTGTAACCCGGTGTTGTGGTCCTTAAGTCAAGATTAACCTAGTAACTAGGTGATGTGGAACTGAAGGCCAGGTAACCATAGTAACCAGGTGCCGTTGTCATGAAGTCCAGGTTACCATAATAACCAGGTGTTGTGGTCCTGAAGTCCAGGATACCATAGTTACCAGGTGTTGTGGTCCTTAAGTCCAGGTTACCATTGTAACCAGTTGTTTTGCTCCTTAAGCCCAGGTTACTAAGCCCAGGTTACCATAGTTACCAGGTGTTGTGGTCCTGAAGTCCTGGATACCATAGTTACCTGGGGTTGTGGTCCTTAAGTTTAGGTTACCGTAGTTACGAGGTGTTGTAGTCCTGAAGTCCAGGATATCATGGTTTCCAGTTGTCACAGTCCTTATGTCAAGGTTACAATATAACCAGGTGTTGTGTTTATGGAACCAAAGTTTCCATAGTTACTAGGTACTTCAAAAATGAAAAGGGAAACCCACCATTTAGAAAATTTCCTGTCTAAATATATTTGATTTTAAAGCATTTTTAGCAGAAAGTTTTAAAAAACGATCATGATATCATATTGGCATTTCCTCTTTGTTAAGTTTGCCATCTTGGAAATCTAATTTATCCATTGTGTTACCACAAATACGTTTTACTAACCTCACAGACACACCTGTCACCAAGAAAAGCACAGAAGTGGAAGATGCTGCACCAGAGGACCGTCATAGACTTAAAGGTTATTTGGCATCCTGTATAGTGTCTTCCCTGTACTAATCTATCTGACTTTAACTCATTCACCCCTGAAGACACATAGGTTGGTGAATGAGTTAAGATTGTTACCCTCACAATTATTTCTTCTGTATAATGCTCCCTACTAGTATGCTTGTATCTAAGCTCCTTTGTGCACCCTCTCACTGTTATTGTAAGTGCCAAATTCGAAAACTTCATGGCATATTTAGCATCTGCACGACCTAACACATTGCACTTTGACAACCTCTAACAACTACAATATCTGACCCTAGCATCAGGATTGCGGTGGCCAAGTGGTTAAGGCGTCTGACATTCTGCTATCACTATAGCCCTCCAGCACTGGGTCGCGGGTTCGAGGCCTACATAGGGCAGTCGCCAGGTACTGGCCGTAGGTCGGTGGTTTTTCTCCAGGAACTTCAGCTTTCGTCCACCACACCTTAAATGACCATAGCTGTTAATAGGACCTAAAACAGAAACAAACAAACAAACCCTAGCATCTCAAATCAAGTATTTATCACAAGGGAAAAAAAGGTCAAACTTGACTACAGTGAAACCTGCCTCAAAGACCACCTATTTATAGAGATAACTTTTCTCTATATACAACATATAATCACAGTCTACCTGTCTGTTAAGACTTCTTGGAAGCTTAGACTGAAAACCTGTTTATAAAGAATACCTGTTTATAAAACCAAATAAATATATAACAATTTGCCTAAATAAAAACCACCTGTATATTATGACTGTTTTCATTATCCCTTGGGCTGTCTTTATAGACAATGTTTGCTGCACTTGAATTATAGAAGAAACTTAAAAATCATCATTGGTGAATTGTAGCTGAAATGATGTCTTAAGTATATTCAATCATATATGAAAGGTGGGAGAGAGCCAATGCTGGTCCAGTATAGGTAGGATCCTAAGGTAGTATGATCGCTGGAGAATGGATACCATTGGGTATGCAGGGAGTCACTCAATAGGAAAAATCAAACATCGTAGGTAGGAGTGTTCTCAACATTAACGAGCTTCACAAGTTAAGCAGGTGGAATACTTTTATTGCATGCCGACCGGTTTCGCCAGTTACGGCTCGTCAGGGCAAAGATCGCTGGAGAATGGATACCAATGGGTATGCAGGGAGTCACTCAATAGGAAAAATCAAACATCGTAGGTAGGAGTGTTCTCAACATTAACAAGCTTCACAAGTTAAGTAGGTGGAATACTTTTATTGCATGCCGACCGGTCTCGCCAGTTACGGCTCGTCAGGGCAAAGATACAGCAATGTTCAGCCCCGTAAGTACCCTCAAAGTGCATGGTACGTTGTACACGTGACGTTACATTGTTATCAAGTACGGTAACTCTCATTTCAAAGTTATCAATATAGAATATGATTGTTAATGTTATCTGATAAAAAGAAAGAAATTAAACATTATAATTAAATGCAGTGTTAGAATTATCTGTTAAAAGTCCAATCCTATCTCATCTTGGCAGTCTGTTCCCTCACTCTGATATCCCAATAGTTTGTAATAAATTAATCCCCTTTCTGATGAAAGACAATTGGACATCATTAATCTCTGTGGTTAAATGTAACATCACGTGTCAAAGGTACCACTTTGAGGGTAATTTAGGGGCTGAAAATAGGCGTATCTTTGCCCTGACGAGCCGTAACTGGCGAAACCGGTCGGCATGCAATAAAAGTATTCCACCTACTTAACTTGTGAAGCTCGTTAATATTGAGAACACTCCTACCTACGATGTTCAATCATATATGCGGTAATAGTGTCATGAATCTGGTTCCTCAGCATCGGTTATCTCCCCTTTTACTGCAACACAACAATGAATTTCCCTGTCACATATCAACACAGTGGTGGTTTCCTAATCAATTCACTTTACTTACAAACAAATGAAAGCACAAAGCACAGTAAAATATCCAGCACAACTGCGCATGAAGGCACCAAGGGAATCAAGTAGTTAGATGTGCTTTAACTCATTCACCCCTGAAATTTCATAATCAGCTATTCCAACCTTTGAATTGGAAGAGTTCAAATGTGTCTTAAGGGGTAAATGAGTCAAACAGACTAATGCTATTTCTGCACTTTTCTGGTAGTGTTGAATAAACTAATCTATACGGGAAATGTTCGCAGCAGTTTAATTTTCGCCTTTTTCACCCTATGTAATGAGGGCAAATACAACATATAAGGGCAAAATTAGCATTTGGCAAACATGGATTATTCTGGTGAATGGTGAAAGTTTGACTTGGCCAACATATTTCCTAGTATGCAGTATTTATCACATAATCGGCCTGTTATCCAGTGAATTTGTCCGTGTAATATTTTTGCATATGTCACTAGTGTAATATATCCTGGAGCGTTTTTCATTGGGTGTGCTAGTCAAAAATTGATTGTGATGTCATAATATGGACAATGACGTAACGTCATAAATTGTGAATGGCGCAACAAAATGGCTGTCTCCGTTTTATTAAGCCCTCTACATTTTGGCTTTAAAACCTGTCAAAATGGATCTTAAATTTGTTTTCATTTCATATGAGCTTTTATGAAACTCGTCTCAAAGTTTAAATTTTTGCTCGCCAAGGCTCGCAAAAATAAAAACTCCTAAGAGTCGTTTCATAAAAGCTCATATGAAATGAAACCTCATTTAAGATCCTATATATATGTTTCTGTCATTCTTTAAATCTTGATTTCGAGTTATTTCTTTGAGATTAGATACGTAGATGATAGGCCAGATACAAATATATGTATATTTGTGTTATTTTTACGTTTCAGATATTTAATTCCATTGCAGTTTTGGAACTTATCTAATCTCTTTTCTATGTGCATTTATTCCAAATTATTGATAAGGGCTCCCAGTGTTGGGACGCTCTAGATTCAGTCCTCTGAACAAGATGTTTGTTTTCACTGTGAATTGCTATGGATACTGTATACCTGCAAATTTGCACCCAGTCAAATTTTCACAATTTGACTGTAAAATGTCCATTTTTTTCGCCCAATATAGAATTCGCCCTTCATATATAATGACTATGTATACTATGTAGTTTACAAATATTTGCTGTAATGTTAAATGTAAGGAGGGAGGAAACGGCGAAAATTAAATATCAGCGAAAATTTACCAGTTTACAGTAGACTATTCAATTATAGCCTTTGGCCGAGGTCGATACCTGGATTTATCGACCCGAGAAAAGATATATTAACCAAGGATGCAGTCTGAGGTCAATATTTCTTTTCTCTGGTCGATAAATCCAGATATTGACCGAAGTTAAAGGCTACAATTTATCATTTTACAAAACAGTAATGCAAGCAATCTGAAAAAAAAAGCTTCAGAAGTGGGACGGTGCATTGTTTGGAGACACGTCATAATTCTATTTTTAGAAACACCCAGTCCTTCAATAAAAATCACACGCTCCAAGTCAATATCGTGTTTTATTGGTGGACACGTGATGCACTCCTGGCCAATCACTTGTCGGGAATAATATGAAAAAATAATAAATGAGGTTATTTTTAGAAAGAGCGAGCATGTATATATAATAATGATTAAAAATCAGATAAAATGAAAATAACTTTATGATAGAGTCAGCCATACGTTTATTAAATGTTTCATATGGACTTAGTTAATAGCTGAACCTACCTGGATTCTTCCAATGCTTGTCAGAACAGTGGTGAGAACTGTCCGCGATTATCGTCAAGTGAAGTATTGGTGAGAAACTGTGGTCTTAAGGTTTTGATGTATTAGCGAGTATTGTGGGCAGCGAGAAAGATGTTAATTCTGCTGATGTCCTGTTACAGAGGCTGAACAAGCGAAGACAGAGGAAGACAAACCAAAGGAGGAGGAGAAACCAACAGAGGAAGCAAAACCTACGGAAGAGGAGAAACCAAAAGGTAACTATGGCAACCTGTAACTATGGCAACCCGCATCAAAGGCTATTAATTGTGGCAATCATTTTGCAGAGGTTTCAAAATGAACAGTAGGCTAGGCCAGTTCCAGCTGTCTTCTAATCATGGAGAGAATTTCTGATGTAAAATAAAAGCAACAATTGTACTGTGAAAGTGGACCCCTACCCAACTGAATGATGGTTCATGTGAATTTTTTCACCCTTCACACAGAAATGATGTTCTTGTGAGTCCATTCCCCAACCTTATTCTTTCTTCCAATTCTTTAATGGGGTCAAGATTAAAATTGCAATCCTTAATGGCAGTGTGAACGCTAGGCACCAGTTTTAAGAATTTTTCTTAACTTGAGTTATTCATTTAATTTAGAAAAGGATTTTTGGGGCTAAGGAAAAGTCTAGTTGAAGGAAAATTGTCTTTAAACTCGAGTAAAATTTGCTGTTGGAAATCTTTAAAACACTGGTCATTGATAGGATAGTCGCTTCTGACCTCACCATCATCATCAAAATATGAGATATTGATAATTATGCTACATTTTGTGAGTGAAAATACTGGTGCCTACAACATTCTTTAATAAATTAGCCCCTGATAAATTTTGACCTTGACCTTTATATACCTTGCATACAGGGGTGTTCAGTTCCATTTGTCTGATGCCCAGGGCTATAGTTAATATTTCAACATTTACTGTGCATTTTTAAATACATCAGTCTGATAGAGTTTTTAAAAATCTGCCTGCGGGCTTCTACATAAAATATGAAATTGTACCCTCCTGGTATGTATCCCTACTTACTGTGATTGACCCCTTACAGAGGAAGAGAAAGCCCCTGAGGAGCCACCCAAAACTGAAGGTTCTTACCGATTTACATTTATCTCTGTGTGTTCTCTGACAATTATACACTAACCTGTGTGATCGTTTTACCTTTTTTTATGGCTTCCGTGTCATTGCAACCTTGTGTGCTTTCAATATGACCTCTATGCCCTAATGATCACTATGTCATTAAAGTATGTGCCAGTTTGATCTACATACATGTATGACCTCTATACCCTAATGTCATGTATGCTTGTATGACCTATGACCTCTATTCCCTTTTGACCTATTTATCCTGTTGACTTATTTGCTTTTATGACCCAGTTTCCCTTTACAACCTATATGCCCTTTACGACCTATTTTCCATTATGACCTACTGTGAATTCAGATATTTTCGTTGGGCCCAGATTTCATGGTTTCCTGAAAAAACACCTTCTATATTGTGGGTACATGAATTGTGGATTTCGAGTACCCACTCAATCGGAAAATCGTTTATGTAAAACTTGTTACTACTTTGTTTACCTATGAATTTGTAGATGAAGATTACCCACTTAATCAAAGAAATTAAGAACCACAAGAAAAATTGATATGATGTGATATGATATGATATAATGACCTATATACCAGTTCTCTTATAACCTCTGCCCTTTGCCCTTTTGACCTCTGTAAGAGTCATGGCCAATAAAACTGTCACTTTGACCTCTGTGCACAATTTGTTTAACCCAGAGAAATGCGACCTCTTACATATTTGACCCCTTAGACATTTATAAACTTTTTTTTAAACCTTTATAAGTTTTCATGATTTTAATTATGTTTTACTGTACGCTTATTGGTTAATGGCTATACTTATACCTATATTGGTTAATGGCTATACTTATACCTATATTATTAAACATCTTTGAATTCCACTCCCGCGAGTCAAAGGAGTTACTTGTCTGATGATGTGAAAAACCATTTCAAAACCTTAACAGTTGGACAGGTTATCCATACCCTGTAAAGTAGTAAGCGAAAGCATGTAGTTTTGATCTTGTTGCAAAACCTATTTCTGCACTGTCTGGAATGCACTTTCCTCAAACAGAAAAATGGTCTTTAAAATGGAGGATCAAAAAAAAAACTGCAACATTCCTACTAATTTTTTTTCTTTCTTTTTTACACAAATTACACTTTTTTCCATACTTTCAGCTCCATACCAAGCATTAACTATTTGCTGTTTGCTCTCGACTGTATTTACCCATCTTGTCAATTGTCAATTTCTTCATTTTCACTAATGCTTACTGATGACTGTTCAGATCAATTTTTGAATTTTTGTAAGTACACATATTTTAATTTGTGAAAGGAACATCAACAGCTATGGTACCCTGTTTAACCCTTTCACCCCTATGTAACTTAAGTAGACTCTTCCATGCATTGATATGGGTGAGTCTATTATGGTCTACACTACAGTGGTGAAAGGGTTAATTGTGTCTGAAGTAAATGCTGATTTTTTTCAGGTTTTGATTGCCTCGCCTCTTGAATTAATGTTAGAATATCTTGTGATTTCCACTAATTTTCAGTTTCGATGAAACATTATTAATTGCTAGCAAGCTGTAATTTTTCCTGATAAAAAAATACATTAAAAAAAGAACAAACATTTTTGAAATATATAATCAATGTCTATCTTCAGTGCCCAATACATATGTGCTTGTAATGCCTTCCATCAGTGCCCAGTATATTTCGAAGCTATAATTTATATGCAAAGTAAAGCTTTAATAAATACAAATTTCCGTACTGATGAATCTTATTAAAGATAAGGTTGCCCAATATTTGTAATGCAAGTTATTAACTTTAATTATTCCATTTACAGAAGAAGCTAAACCAGAGGAGGCCAAAACAGGTCAGTAGAAACACCATATAGGTATCTTGACTTCCATTACGTTCATGTAAACCTGCTAAATTTAGTTGGTAAATATGACATCTTAACTCCTACGTGATGATCTTGACGCCATTAACCGTTTCACCACTGTGGACCACAATGGACTCATCCAGATGAATGTATGGTAGAGTCTACTACAATTACCTAGGGATAAAAGGCGTAAAATTGTTGTGACATTGGAATGACTGCCAATTCTGGTTGAAAATCTTATCAAAAACCTAACTTACATTTGAAAAAACATATAGAAAATTGAAATCTGGTGTTAAAATGGTTCAGGATAGAACCAACATTCTGGTTGTGGGTCGTAAGTGGATTGTATGGTAGGATTCTTTGATGAAATAGCCAATGGTATTCACAAGCGAAGATATGTTTATACAAAGCCAGGCAAACTGACACATTTAAACTATAAATTAACTATGGAAACTATATGTTGATACTCCTTTCTTTGAAAATAAAACAAGTAAAATATCAAACGATTGTTCAAAAAAAAAGACAAAGATGTTCAAATCAGTTCTGACACACTTTGCATAATAAGTTAATTACCATCGGTGAAGTCATCCTCTCAAGTAAGGCTATGGGTATAGAACCAGGACAGAATAAGATCACTTCATCATTTGCCTGATGAAGCTGAAAGAGTGCTAATTGCACTGTTAACCCTTTCACCACTGTAGACCATAATGGACTCATCCATATCAATGCATGGCAGAGTCTACCGAAGTTACAAAGGGGTGAAAGGATTAACCAAACCTTTCAAGTTAAAAAAAATGTTGGTTGTGTTATTTTAACTTCAGTTCTTCGATGGGGGAATCAGAAGAGGATTGCCAACAAATGATCATAGCATACTAAATAGCACACATTATTTGTCAGAAATCCTACTCAGAATTATTGGAGTATTACTCTGAGCGGAATGAAGACTAAATACTTTTAAAGTAACAAACAAACATCAAATCTCATGAATCACATATATCATTTCACTTCCTGCTCAGGATATTTACAATGTACAGGTTTTTAGACTAGACAGGTTCCAATCCAAACTTTACAGCCGGGTCATTCTGTGGTCACAAGTTATCACAAATTTAAGTTTTAGAGTTGTTGAATTAAATATTTGCTTTAAATTTCTGAATTTGTTGTCAACTAAATAAAGCCTATATACATCAAATTTTTTAATATCTTCAACTATCACAAAGTTTTGGGGTTATAAAACATGCTATTAATCTTTGAATGGAAACCAAGATCACTTTGGTGAAAATATTTGTATTTGTCAGTATATTACACCTCAATTTCACAGTCAAGTTTATGATCTGCAAAATCTTAAAATATTCCTTCCCATAAAAACAGTAGTTCTGTATAAACGTATCTCCAGCATGTTCATTTATTTGCTCACTTATAATTCTACTCCACATTATAGAAGAAGAGACCCCTAAAGAGGAACAAAAGACGGAAGAGGCTCCCAAAGAGGAAGAAAAGACAGAGGAGGCTCCCAAGGAGGAAGAAAAGAAGGAGGAAGAGGTAAAACAGGAAGAGGAGACACCTAAACCTACAGAAGAGGCCAAACCTGAAGGTATGTCCTCCATATAGTCCTAGATCTGTTGCTCTGTTGGAAAAAATTACTTTGACTCTCTGTCTCAGGGCTGCATTGGCCAAGTGGTTAAGGCTTCTGACATTCTGCTACCACTAGGCCGCCACCACTGGGTCGCGGGTTCGAGACCTATGTGGAGTGGTCGCCAGCTACTGGCCGTAGGTCGGTGTTTTTTCTCCGGGATCTCCGGCTTTCCTCCACCACCAAAACCTGGCACGTCCTTAAATGACCATAGCTGTTAATAGGACGTAAAAACATCAACAAGCCTTGACTCTCTCAAAATGTTGTATGTAATTTACGAGAAAAAATGTAATGTCCAGTGAATGCTTATCATGATGATGTACTCGGAAAGTTTGAATTATATCTCAATCACAAGTCACTTCCTGGTTGCAATTGACTTACTTCTGAAAAGCATATTCTAGAAATTTGCTTTAAATATCTTTCATCTTTTAGAACTAAGAAAAACTGAATATTTCTCAAAATAAGCTTTTGCATAACTTCAAGTAATAGAATTTTCCTGTTTAAATGAAACCACTACGGATTTCAACGACTTCACAATTAAAAAAAGAGGGCATTTTTTTGTTGAACATACAAGTTAAAAACAGCAAAGTTTTTGAAATGAAGTGATGCACTAGGTCGTAAAGGTCGAATTATCTTACCATTATTATTCTTTTGATCATATTTTTCATAGAGTAACATGTGGACAGAGGTGGAATTAGTAGAATAATTATGATATTTTTATCACATACCTGTTGAATCTTGTTATAGTAATACAAGCAATTTTCAGACCATGAAATACAACGTTCTGTATTGCACGTATATATTCACTTGTACGCTCCATACACTCTTGAATATATTTGTCCGCGCAATAAACTTGTGCTTTCTGATTCGTTAGAAAAACACAAGTCTGTGGTCTTGCATATTTATTTGATAGCCACATACAACATCTACAAATGTTTGTATTTCAGGCGGAGAGGAGACAAAAACGGAGGAACCAGAACAAAAGGCCGAAGAACCAAAGACAGAAGAGGAAACAAAACCAGAAGAGGCAAAGCCTGAGGAAGCAAAGGCAGAAGGTAAATCCTGTCAATAGTACACATGGACACTTAAATTAAATTGTCATTGAAGTTCACATACATTTCTAAAACTTTTAAAAATCGCAGAGTTCATACAACTAGCTTCAAATGAAGAAAAAGAAAAAGAAATGATGAGTAACAACACCACGGAATCCGGTACAAAATGTAGTGTTTGATTTACATCCTGCAACTAGCATCAGTTTGAGAAATTATCCACTCTGTCCATAGTACGTGTATCTTTAGATATCATGTTTTCTATTATTTGACCTTTTGACCCTGACAGGTGAAGAGGAAAAGAAAGAGGAGACCAAAACTGAAGGGGAAGGTATGTATCCGTGGTAACAGACTGATTAAAATCACATCATAGTCATAAGTATGCTTGATACTAGATACTGTGTTCTGGAAAATAATCTGGCATCCAAGAATCTATACCAATTACACTTTGTTAGTGTAATGCTATCAGATGGTTTAATAAAACTTTCCTTATCAGGACATGTGCTTTATGTTTTAAGGTTTTTACATAATTTTTAAATGAGAATGAATAAAACACAAGACTATAGAGAAAAAAAATACTCCTGAGTAGAATTAGAATACATTATTTTTTTTGTAAAACTGATTTGAAATGAAACTTCAGAGAAATCATTTCTAAGATTAAAATTTGATTAAAACCTGGTATTATAAAATACACAAAAAAACACAAAAAACGGAAATTACTGCCATGACAAAGAATGTTGAATGCAAAGTACACTGGAACACAATACTGTACATTTAATTAAACAGTGACATTGTTACAATAACTTTCTGTATCTGCTATGATGTGCATTGTACAAACCTCAAGGGGCTGGTCAAGCAAAATATTAAACATTCAATAGTGAGTGAATAACATGGAAAATGAAAACTAATTATCAGTAATTAACGAATTTGTCATTTGCTTTACAGGTGCAGCATAGAGAAGTCTATTTGTGATCTAGTGCAAGAATTTGGGACCAAAAGCATTCATTACAATCAAAACACCCTGCCATGGATGTCATCGGGGACACTTTAGTCATATTCAAGACATTTTGTGGTGAAAAAACACTGTCGAATTTGCATCCTTTGGATAATGAAACTTTATATCTCCATTCCAATTGCATCATTGGAACAGGAAGTGACATCATGAAAACAGGAAGTGACATCATGATTGTGTGAAATAATCCATGGTCAGGATTTGATTGGAACAGACCTGTGATATCATACACTTGAGTGTGTGCCTTCAAGTATCATGTGCCAGCTAATTAAATATGCTTATTTATCTATCTTAACATAGACACTGATTCCCGTCCAAATTTTATCTGTGAAATTTATATATACACTTATGAAATTTATAGCCACGTGCATTCCGTCAGTTTACAGTCCCATCAGTAAACTGGTTGTCAGTTATTTTATACTTGTTATACATGTCATAATGGTGATCTTTTTTATTTATTGAAATAAAAGTTTAAACATGTGTTAAAATCATTGTCTTAGGTTATTGTTATTGACCTGGCCCCAGCGTTATCCATTACAACCAATGAACCTTTAGACACAGTCCATTACAACCAATGAACCTTCAAACATGGTCTTTACAATAAGTGAATGCTTAGACATGTAAACCGTATTCTGTTGTCCTGTACTATGCATGAACATACAGACACGTTCCTATCAATGTGTAATTCTTTCAATGGGTTCTTACCAGGGCTTGGCCCTTAGGACACGCTCCTAAAGATGGGTTACTTACATATACACTCCTAACAATGAAGGACACTTAGGACACACTCCTAACCATAAGTGTCTCTTTACAAACTCCTAGCTATGGTAAATATTGACATAAATTTAAAACAATAATGACCTTTGAGCCACGCTCCTAGTCAATTGGGACTATTTAGATGTAAACATACTTTTGCAAAACAAAGAATGACTCTTCCAACAATGGTGATTCTCAAAACATGCTCCAAACATTTACAGTAGGTGACTGTTTAGACACCTTTCTAGCGAATGCAGACTCTTTAGACGTGCTATTCATTCCAGATGCACCAAAAAAAGGTTCTTTACAGACGCTCCTAGAAATGGTCGACTCTTTACAGATGCTATTAAGAATGGTTGAATCTTTAGACACACTCCTGTGAACAGGTGACTCTTTTACAGACGCTCCTAAGAATGGTTGAATCTTTAAACACACTCCTGTGAACAGGTGACTCCATTACAGACACTACTTAGAATGGTTGAATTTTTAGACACGCTCATAAGAAAGGGTGACTCTTTACTGATGCTCCTAAGAATTGTTGAATATTTAGACACGCTCCTGAGAAAGGATGACTCTATTACAGACACTACTTAGAATGGTTGAATTTTAGACACGCTGATGACAAAGAATGACTCTTTTACAGACGCTACTTAGAATCTTTAGACACCTTTCTAAGAAAGAGTGACTCTATTAAAGACGTTACTTACAATAGATGACTTGTTAGAAACGCTAACAATGATGTTTCAGACACGGTCCTTAAAATTGATAACACTTGGCAAATACTCTAACAAGGGGGCCGTCTTTAGAAACGCTATGGTATGGTTTAGACACTCTCCTGTAACCTTTTAGTCACGAAAATAATGAAATTCATTTAATTTAAACACGCTCTTAATCATTTGTAGCTCTTAAGACACGCCCTTTACAAGCGGTAACTCGCCCTTGACGATGGATACTATTTTAGACACACTCCTTTCAATCGGTGAATCTCCTTAAAATTCACATCTCTTCATACGCATTCCTGTTGAGTGTTTAGACACGATTTCGACAATTTATGACTTGAATCACGATCCTAAACTGAATTGGAGACCCTTTTTGACACACTTTTACAATTGGTGAAACTTTAGTCACCCTTCCCGGAATGGGTGTGATACTGCCGACACACTAGTCTCCTAACAATGGTTGATGCTTCAGACCGATAACATTCGGGCTATGAGATGACATAAGTGACAATAACAAATATTAACACCAACATATATGGGCAGAGTCAGAAATCAGTATCAACAGTAGGAACCAGATCGGACGTGAAAAGTAACAAGGTCACTTGCTCGACCACGTGGGATCTTTCCGGGTACTTCGGTTTCCTCCCACATTAACATCCGAGCAAAAAAAGAGCTATTGATATACGTTGAAATATCTTGTTTCATAATTGTTGTAAAATAAATAAAGTTTCTATCATATCTATATACCAATAGGAAATCTATACCAACAAAAAGACGCCAAACAAAGTTTGAAACAGCGGATCTGTAAGTTTCATATTCAGATTCTTTATTAGCTATACACGGCTAATATAGGCGCAAGTAAGTACAGAGCTTTGTGAACCTCACGTGGTACTTAGGGTATACAAATCTTACAATTATTTCAATTTATAAAAAGAGTCTCCAGAAAGTTATATGCAAAAAAACGTGATGAGTAAATATCTACAGATAGGTACGAATGTATATTATGTATATTATTACATAAACAAAATTTGTTGTATTCATTCGTGAAAACAACATTTTTCAGTCCGCCTTGAAATATAAAATACAGGTGTATTACTACTTGAGTAATATTATTCTATTATGGCACTTTCCCGAGGGAACTGTTCTCTTCTTATAGTGTTATCTCACTGGCACTATACCTCTCCAGACAACACTATAAGAGAACTCTTCCCGAGGGAAAGGGTCATAATAGATTTATTACATCACATTTGACTGTCATTTGACAATAAAATGTCAAATATTTAATAATTAACAACAAATGTCTATAAGATAATTGTTTGAGTACATCTCTCCATTTTTGTTGCGTATTCAATTCACTGGGTTGAATCACCGCTTGGTCACATACGGTTCCCCTTTCCAATAGGAAGTCTGTAAGTACTGCGACGTCAAATGGTGTCGTCTGCTTCGTCTTTATGCATTGCTAAGCCTCTGCGAAGCAATCGGCATTCCTGGTCCCGATATTCGAAGCCATTTTGGCAGACGACAACAATGAAGTGAAAGCAGAATATATACAGCGCCCCCTCGGAGAAGGGGCGCAACTCTTAGCGTCACGCTACCAAAGTTCCGTCGTCAAGGGCGGATGCTAACTATACCAAATAGAACAAGGATAGTTATCCAATAGCTATCCTAGAAATTATCATGTGATGTACTAAATACAACTAGTCTGATAGACTAATGCGTACACATGCTAGAAAATTTACTAATACACCTTATAACTGTTTGGGACGGTGATCGTATTTTGTAACGTATGAGATACATTGATTAATCGGTCATATGGCCTAAAATCAATATATATATTGAATTAGATTGACTCAAACTTTAGTTATTGAAAGTCTGCGGCTCCATACGAAGTTCTTCTATTTGTAAACAATGAATCAGAAATCGTAGTCATCTTGTTGTGGGTAACCATATTGAGAAGTATTGTGTTCTGTTTGAAGTGGGGCCGTGCTTCCAACGGCAGCATTTATAGTGTCACCACACTTGAATGCTACAATACAGATACCGCAACATCCACCCAGACCAATTTATACTCCACCTGGGTTGTTGGAGTTGTGTGGGTAGGAGAAAAACACTTTCTCTGAATATCCATGCATACGACGACTTCGGGGATCGAACCCCAGCCGCATGCGTGGAAGGCTGGAGTGTTAACCACTCGACCAATACGCCCGCAGTTGTAACAAGAAATCAGAAATCGTTATGCTGTAACATTCCATTCCTCGTTTACTCTACAATCTTATTTGATAAAGTCATCTTGTTGTGGGTAGCCATATTGCAAGCTAGGGATGGAATGAAAGAACATTGTAATACTAAGCACCACCATAATATGTACATTTTGCATATAACCGCAGGTGCTTGAACCGATCGGAACACAAAATACACATATTTAGATACTGAAGAGCAGGATTGGGAAAGCTGGTAGCAACTCTAATTACACCCGAACGCAAGCAGGTGTCGACATTTCCTGCTCAAATATAACGCCCAAAGGAAAAGGAAAATTAAATAAAAGTTGTTGTTTGTGCTTGAAAACGCTGTGTTGCATTAAGTAGAAAAGGTCAAAGAATATCACATCCAGTAAAATAAATCAGCCGTTGCATGACTTAGTTTGCAGGTGCATTGCAAAGCCATACCGTCTTTTGTCAGATATTAGTATAGATTGATTGGACACAGAAGGAGCGGCTTTCGTAGATCAACAGGACTTCTAACGAATGACATGTTTCGCCTGTCTGTGCGTTGACAAGCAACAGCAATTAATTCAAGAATCAAAGCCAAACACAGAAACTTGACATCAATAATGAGCTAGCTGACAATATCACCGGACTAAACAGATTAGGATCTAACACGGAATTGGATTAGGTTGCTGTCACAGTCCGTGGATCTACACAGCATATGATGGTTGGTGTAAGGTGTACTGTAAAAGATGTATTTATGGTGAATTTAGTTGCTCTAGGATTTGTGAGAAGAAAACGGAGCTTAATGCAAAAAAAATAAAACGATTTGAAATATGCGTTATTTGTAAATTCTAAAAATTATCATCTAAACTTTAAGACTTCACATATGAAATGTAGAAATATCATATTCAAAGCAAATTTGAAACTAGAATTAAAATGCAATTCAAGTTTGAATCATGATTCTCAAACATTCAAATATTGCAGAATTTTAATTAGATTTAAATTGGAATTTTAAATTCAGAAAAATGTTTCCTTAATTGTCAGACTTTAGACAAATTTATCAAACTTAGATTTAAAATAATAAAAAAAGATTCTTTTATCATGGTTATTATTTATAAAAATGCATTACCAATGAAACATCTATAATCCAAGTCTGGTTGGTTTGCACTTTTACTTTTTGAAAATAAATACCGAACCTAAAAACAAAACAACGAAACACAGATGAGAATAATGAATATTTAACTGGACGAAAAAAACAAGGTCATATTGAGCATCCGAAGGAGCCGTCGACAATTAGATTGGTTTTAGTTTGGTTTGGTTTTATATTGTTTAACGTCCAATCAACAGCTGAGGTAATCTAAGGACGTGCCTCCACGTGTATTATGTAAGCGTGCATGTGTGCTGGTGAGAGGGTATATTAGTGTAGTTGCCTCCTTGTGATAGCGCCGATTTGATGCCGACTTTATAGTGCTATCTCACTGAAATACCATGCCGAAGACACCCAGCGCAGCATTCCGCCCGATCACATTATACTGACAACAGTTGGTGTCATTACCCATAGTGCTGAACGTCAGGCAGGGAACAACAACTATTATTTTTTAAAGACTTTGGTATGTCCCGGCCTTGGGATAGAACCCATTGCCTTCCTCATCTGAGCGAATGCTCAACACTAAAGCCAAAAATAAGGTACTGCTAAGAAAGGCATTAGAGAAACTGAAATAATGTAGAAGTAGAGAGAAAGATTAAGATCCCAAGTATTGCTATGGGGACAGTAGATTTATTTGGTCGCTTCTTAGTCCCCAAATA